CCCTGGCCCGGCCACTCCGGCCCCTGCCCCAGCCGCTCCGGTTCCTGCCCCGGCCGCTCCGGCCCCTGGGCTCCTGCGGCCCGAGGGGGGACTCCCGCCTGCCCGGGCTTGCGTGGGTGGGAAGGGCTCTTTTGGGAGCATCTTGCTCCGGCCACGGGCTCTAAGTGGCCGGCTCTGCCGCTCTGACTCCCTGCGGGTTGTGGACGTGCAGACAGGCACAAGGGAACACACACGGCCGTGTATGGAAAAATGAAGCGGGAGGCTGCAGCAGAGAGGTGTAGCAGCTGGRGACCTCTCCACTGGCAAATGCCAGGGAAAGAGCAAGTTGCATTTCCCACCTCAGCTGCTTTAAAGCTGAGAGTCGGTGTGAAGATTAAGAACTCTGGAACACCCTCGCTCGTTCCCGTGCACCAGATAAATGGTTCAGCATCCCTCCTCTCCCCCTAGGGAACAGCTRCAAGAGGAAKGGAAAAGCAAAAGGGAGAAAAAAAATGTATCAGGAGAGGGGATTCCTTCACCATTCTGAAAATAAAAACTAGCATTGCCTCCTCCCTTTCTCCTGCCCAGAGATGGTCAACTGAAGACTTTTAAGGGAAACAGCCTTCCCCCTGCTCCACTTGCAAAGGAACCTGAGGCTCACAGTAACCTCTTGTTCAGCACCGATTACAGCAAGAGCCTCAGCACCAGCGATCAGGCATTTGGGATTTTCTGGGGAGAAGCCCAGCCAATTTTTTATGTAACGGAGGCTTAGCTGCCTCAAGCCCCCTACTTCAAAATCACACCCCTTATAAAAGAGAAAATACTTTCTGTGAGGCTGATAGGGCTTCTCTGGACCAGCCACCAACCACACATCATTAAAAGMGCTTATTTCTAAACCCAGGTGCCAAAACACCATTGGAAGTGCTGAGATTCGCTCAAGTTATTAGGAAACAACAACGACGGATTTTTTTTTTCTTCCATCATCAATGCACTTTTCAGGGACTGGGAAAGGAGGCAACGATTTAACAGACCCGGCCCCACTGAAGTATTAGTTATTTGGTAATGAGCACAGGGGCTGGAGCACTGTGGCGCAGCCAGGTGGTTACCGGAGCCCACCAAAGGCTCTGGGCACCACCTCAGTTGTGGCAGGAGAAGGTTTTCCACTCCCCCCATGAGCGTAAGCCCTGGTCCGGCCTCGTGCTGCTGCCTCAGAACTCCTTTTCCAGGCACATCTGAACTCTCTTTGTTGAAACGTCTAAGTGTCCGATGCTGAAGGCACGGAATTCAGCTGAACGTCCTGGTAGAAACAGGCAGTTCCAAATGGGATCTTCTTTGTGGAGGCATCCTGTTTGCTTTCTTCATGCCAGTTAACTCTAATCCCCAAATCACCAGGGGCCATTACAAGTAGATCTGTAAAGGAAACCTGGGATGAAACCGAAGAAGAAAAGTGGAATCCTTAAGAGGAGAAGGCGGCTCAAAGTCTTGCTTTGAGCACGGCAGCGTTTCAAACCAAGTGTCAGGAGCGACATTTCTGCAGTGGAAACTTCCCCCCACACTTCAGGGTAACACCTGAAGCACTAGGGAGCCTTGTTTCTCCCTCCCTCCCCCCAACCTTCYCTGCCTTGGAGGTCCGGAATCCTTATGGAACAGGCAAGAAAGGCAGTAGGTGAGAGGCAGACAGACAGGCTGGGAAGCGGCTTCCCTCTCCCAGCCTACACACATACCCAGTTGCAGCATGTGAAATGCAGCCAGTTCACGCTTCCCCCCCTAAGAACTGCTGAGAGCATGAAAAGACCAGCACCCAGARCACGTGGTGGAGGAACAACCTCATCTCTGAATGAAACCATCAGATTCCTGAAATCTGCAACTGTACATTAACAGCGTCAAGCTTCAGGGGCTGTGCTATATCTCTCCAATTGCCATGATGCAATGCAAATTTAAGYGGTATTCTCACAATTATGCTCAGAAGGAAATAAAAACATATTTTAGTGGAAAATGTTTTCATTTGATATGGCTAAAATGAAAAGGTACTTTGTACCTCAACCTGAAAGGTCAGCACATTCTGTCTCACCTTCTCGCATCACCTTTGAGTAACACACTCTAGGTCTTTAATACACAGAATAAACTGTGTCACCATTAAACTTCAACACAACAAAATCACCTCAAATGATTAAATATGACACAATTGCTGCTGAAATATTTGTTTGGACTGTTCACTGCAATGGAATAACTTCATGGTAGAACCTACGATTTATTTTGAGAGTTAGGTACGACATAGCAAGAAAGTTAGACCAGTAAAAGACTTTACAGCTTTTGTTTGCAACAGAGATGAGCCACAGCAAGAAAGTTTCCCAGGTGAGAGGTAAGGGATATAAGCCAGTTTCCATTACACTGGATCTGTAGTAGACTGATCACTGTCTTATGAACTAGTCATTATTATTTCCATCCTGCCATCCCAACTAAGACAAAAGGAAAAAAGCAGAATCAAAAGGCAATTGGAAAGGTAGGTTCCTGTCTACAGAAGTCCGTGTTTAGCACACTGAAAGAAGAAGAAAAAAATAAGAGATGTTTGCGAAGGACAGTTTCACAGCACTGAAAAGGGCAACTCTGGAAATAGAAGTAACCTCTTCATAGCCTCCAATCCATCTGAATACCTATTAAAGCAAATTATGCTTCTATTGTAGAGTTACAAATAACCATCTCTCCAGGAAACAGTACCAGTAAACTCAGTTTTTGCATTTAACARTATCAAGGAAAAAAGAGAAATAAAGAGAGGCCACGTATAAAATTGCAGATAAATAACCCCAAAACCTAAATCAAGTATCACTTTTTTTCCACTAGAAGAAACAACTTTAATGACTAAGACAAATCTGTACTTTATAAATGTTTATTCTAATTCAAAAATAGTTGCATATACATTTACAGAGTCATTTAAACAGTGTATTGAGTAAATTGCCTATATTTAGTTTATTTTTTTAATCCCTTTAGGCTTGCTACTGAGGTCTATCACTATGGTTTTTAATCTTCTCAATACCTTCCTATGTTTTACTGAACAAATAAGCTTTCAAATTAACAACAACAATTTTCTAAAAATGAATGTAAACATCACAGCAATAGCATGCTACTCCGCCTTTAAAATATTAAGTCGGTATTTTTCTGGGATGAAGTGATAAAAACTTTTTTTTTTTTGGTGACAACAGAACCATGCTGTATACATAGACAGTACTGATGACTAAGAGAGCCACTTATTCACATCACAAATGAAGATGTGCRGTTGAATCAAAGTTCCACCGAATTCAATAGAAAATTGCTGCCAATTTGCATAGAGATTTCACTTGTAATTACCTTCATCAAAACCACATAAAAGAGGGGAACAATTCATGTATAGTCCTCATTAACAAGAAGCTAGGGAATTAACAGGAATGGTACCACAGATCATCAAGACCTAGGAACGCTGCCAGAGAAGTATGGCGAAGTTTAAAAAACACTTTAATCATTTCATCATTCATTGCAATGAAGCAATGCCTCAATTCTGTCAGCACTGAGCAATTRATACGATCTCCCCCAGCTAATGGAAGAGATATACTTAGAATATAAAATGCCTGTACAGTCATTGTAATATCTATATGGCTTACTGCAGAGGAAATACMGTAACTGGGCCAGAATTCCCATCATCTTGATACTACCCCAGAAAGYAGGATACAGATCTCTGAGACTCCGCTTAGTCATGTGAAGATGTTTGATTAGGAGCATCCTGTTTCATATGTGCTGGTGTCACTTCCCAGTAACGGAAGAGGATGGATGGATGGACGGACAGATGGATGGATGGACGGACGGAGAAAGGGAACTAGGGAGCTAACTCAGACTAAAGACATACTGCACTGCATTCAACACAGTCTTCTTTTGCAGTAGGACCACAGACCTTCCTGTGAAAGGTTTGGGGACCTTTCTGTAGGAAGGATAATGCAAATAAGACTTACATTAGCTTAATCCATGTGGTACTGATACAAARTGAGGATGTAGCAGTGGTGAAACAGAACAAGTGGCCCCCTCCACCACCTCGGCCCCCTTCCTCCCTGCTAGCACTGCACCATGGCAGCAGAGAGGCTCCCATCCTCCCTTTGAAATTCATTCCAAGGACTTCAATTAATTCCTGTTTGGTGCTTTTCAACTGTAGATTACTTCATAGTGATAACCAGCAGGTGATCYAGCAGGTGACCCTAGGCACAGGGCAAATACAGTTGACAAAAGAATTCAACTATACTGGTCCATATAGTCTTCAAATAGAGATTTAAAGAAGGAAAAGAGAGATGGACTGAACAAGACATAACTTCCACCTTGGAACAAAGGGTTATCTTCCTGTCTTATAACTGTTATGTTGCAATATGATTTATTTTACAGGGAATAAATTAATTGTTAYCTAATGTATTATCTATATAGAAGTGTTTTTAGTCATAGACAACCTATTAGTCTGGTATTACTCAAAACAACTGCTAATTGGTGACATATAGCTAAGCCTCTGGGAGAAAACTGTCACTATAATTTCCCATCTGTATCTTTTTGATATCTGGGCTCAGGAAGCCAGTTTTTATTTATAACATGGTTTTACACTGCTCAAAATGTTAAAAGTATATTTGTCAAACACCTATTACTCTATTAGTGATTTTAAATCAGGCACGTTCTTTATCTGGAAATCCAACAACATCTGTCCGAGTGCTTTGCCCTGTAAGAGAAAAATCCACAACCTTACTATTCAAATATACCACAAAAATCCATTTAAAAACTGTTAATCAGTTTTTTTTYCCATAATCAGCACAAATAACAAGCATTCATTGTGTTTAACATATTTTGTTTGCATTTATGTATCCATATATATAAATTTGGAATGAATTTCCTGAAATCTTGGACTGTGTGCTCACACAAGTTATATTTACTTTTTCCATTCATTTGGATTTCTCACTTTTAAACAAAAATGCTTAAGTAAGAAAAACCATATGTTTAAGGTTTTCAGATATTTAATCCTAATCAGATTGAGCAGCTTCTTCAATCTGTTTGCTACCTAGTACAAACATGATTTTTTTTCCAGTTGCATTTCTCCCATTTAATTTGGTAATTCGATTCTACACATTTGATTCACRCATTTGTTTCTTACTTTGTGAATAGTCTTGTTAACTATGCTGAGATTATTTGTAAATCAAACCATTTCTCAGCCTGGTGGCAGAACTGCACTTCATTGTAGGACAGCACTGCCATGTAAAGGGATCTTATCATCAGGTTCAGGGGATGTTTCAAATATTTAAAACCCAAAATGTAAACTTCTAAAGATCTTTTAGTTTCAGATCTAAATGATGCGGTCAACACAAAAGATTTGCTATGCATCCTTTTCCTCCCTCTTTTGTATTACTATTAATTAACTATAATTTAACTATATTAACCATAGGCTTAGCTTGATGTGGCTTGGTAGAACTCTTGTAAATTCAAAATGTGTTCACAGCTGCTATATGTACAAGGAAATACTTAATCAAAATTGTCTAAGGATTTCTTATTCTCCAAAACTTGACAGCTGATTTGAGAAGCTGATTTAACTAGTACATCTAAAAACAGAGGTAGCACAAAGGATATTCGACTCCTAAGAGTCTTCATATCAGTTACCCTTTTACACACACATACTTTTCCCATAAATATTTAAAATCAATTCTACTTCACTATGAAGCTTTTAAACCTTCAAACGATGCTGCAGATACAGAAGCATATTCACATGAAATTAAAAAGAACTASAGTCAAAAGATACTGCTAACAATCCCAATCCAAAAGCTAGTTATAACGAGACCATGCAATATTTAGTTATAAAAGGTAACTACGTTAAATCAATGCTTTAGGTACGTGCCTGTGGGTCACTTCGTAGGGATGCTATGCCACCACCACCAAGGGAATTCTTCAGAACAAAATTTAATCCATGGATTCCTGGCAACTCGTATCTGAAAAATAAAATTTACAAGTAGTTTTTCAGTAGATTACAAAAATAAACAAAAAGCCTTTTGCAGGATATCAAGCCAGAGACTGCAAAAATTTTAAGCTCATAGTGTCCCCCGTTACTGAGGCAAGTATACAACAATATTAGCCTACGGCCTTCTCCTTGGCTTTCCTTCTTRTCCCAAATCAATCCCTTAAATAGTATTAAGGCAAAATCAAGATGTAGTCACTCTCTTCTTACTCAATTAGAAGTTAGTGAATTTGCAGTTGAGGCAGTTTTCTAAATTTTTAAGAGTTATGCATAAAGAAAGCTCATCAGGCAAGGGGTTCGAGACTCAGTATGTACACAGATGACAGTGGGCAGAATTTTAGAATTTAAAAAAAAACTGAAAAATAGAATCATTTCATTCTCAAAACTCACTTTTGCTATCAATAGCTGCCACCCGATTAGAAAATCCTATCATCTATTACTGAAAAAACAAGCATGAGAGTCACCAGATCAAACGTTTTATAAAATTCTTTGCAGTTGGGTCTTGCAATAACAATGAAGCTGCATTTCAGCACTTTATTGAAACGAGACACGTTATTAAGGTAAAATAATTCTATTTYAGTGTAACAGACCTTCTTTATTTCTGTGCCGCCACAGTAAGCATTTTTCCATCCTTACATTTGATTGTGCATTTCCAATTTGGAAATTTTTGCAGAATTTTGGCAAATAGCTCTGTGGTTTCCTAATAAAAAACTGTTTCATATTTATTAAAATAGACCTATAGCAWATTTCCAGTTGCTTGTTCTTGCATAGTTTTTCAGTGCTTTGTCTTCTTTCCTGTATTCTTCAAATATGAAGACTTCTGAGCAGTGGAATATTCTCAGAAGGACAAGAAAATAGCTGTATTTCAAAGACAGAAAAAGAAACCAGCAAGTTCTTGCTTTCTTAGCCTCCCAGGTAAGTGGCCTAGGATCACTAGGATTTCTCAAAACATAAATCCTTAATAAAAATAATTTATAAGTACAATACTGTTTTCTATTATGTTCTCAATTAATTTGCATAACTCTAAAATTAATGATGATGGAAGATGGGTATAACTGAAGTCCTAACAAGAGATTATGAAAAAGTACCTGACCAATACAGCAAATGATATTTAATAAATTTGTCGAGTATTTTATATATGTATTTTTAAATTAAAAAGAGAAAAATCTTTCCTTCTCCAACTATATTTGATTTTGACAAAAAAATCTGCTATTAACAAGACGGAGGATAGACATTTTGCCCTCTAAAAACAAAAGAAAAATTCTTTCATTTAATATGCRGTATGATCATACATCTAGCCTACATCCTACTACAGTGTGGCTGGTATTCTTCATGTCAGTTAGAGTTAGAATTTTTTTTGTGTATACACACACAAACACACACAGAAGAGGGCCAACACCTTTATTATAATTTAGAGCATGTCCTAATGCCTGAACACCATGTTCTTTTCCTTGCCTTCCCTTAGGTTGGTCCGATTCTTCCTGTTGAGCTTGCACATCACTGCCATGCACAAGAAGAAAACTGCCATTACCCCAAGGAGAATATATTCTACATAGGTGGGGAAAAAGTAATTTCATAGGTTTTTTTTTTTTTTTTGGAAAGAAAATCATTAATGTGTCACCTGAAAACCTGGAAGCTTCTTACTTTACAGATCTATTTATCAAAAATAACTCCATTTTTTCATGTGGCAAACCTATTTATTTTAATAGCCTTAGGGGAAAAGAATGAAAAGCAATTTGGCTGCTAACCTCTGGGTGGTGGTGAGGCAGAGCCATTGTTAGTATGTTTTTAGCCCCMAAAAGAATATAAACATGTTAAATCATTCTCACTTTAGGTAAAGGAAATGAAGAGTAAGACCGTTCTTTTTATGACAATAAAAAATAAAAATCAAACGAGTTTTTTTAAATAAGAAACTGTGCGATCTGAAGCACATGAGCATAATCCTTATAATCCTGAACATTTACACAAAAGGATCTATTCTTTTTCCCAGCAGTTTCTCAATTCACTCACAGAGCTCCATTATCACATCATTAAAAGAAGCCAAACCCTGGAACAGATAATCTAATTAATCAAAATAAATTGGTTTTAGCCAGACACAGCAAACTTCAACTTTTATTTATGAACATAAACAGAATTAAGGAACTGCAATAAATCATTTTCTAGAAGTATCATTGCAAGGAGTGACATTTTTAATTTTTTTGCCCCTCTCTGCTCTGTTTTGGAGGAAATGCAATTACATTTCTTGATGTTAGAATTTATGAGATGCAAAGGTTTGTTAGCACTTACAAAATAGCGGTCAAGATCTGCATTGAGCTGCTTTCTGAGATGAAGAACAGCATTTGCAGCCCAGAAAGAACAGAGGTTAAAATATCCCTGAGCTCTCTYTGAGCTTGGAGTTGCACCTCTCTGAGCCAGGCTCTTCAATTACCCAAGAGAGACACATAATGGTTTATCCAACACCCATATAAACAAATAACAGTTCTGCTGAACTCTCTTTCCATTGTATATGGAAATGTTAGGTATGTGGTTTAGCGGCAGCCAATACTCTGGCTGAGTATYATGTGCTCTTCTCTCTCAATTCTGGCTTGCTGAACGGAGCACGAACGCGGGTGAGACCAGGAACATGTCCTCTACTCTGAAGTGAGCACACTTCATAAAAATTAAAAGCCTTCTGCAGAGACAGTGACAGCATGAAGAGGGTTTCTAACAGAAGATCAGGCAGTTTGGGGCTTTGTATACACCTCCAACTTCCAGTTCTGCAATGGCTCTGAGGCTTGGGAAGCCTCAGGTACTAAGGCTCCTGCACTCTCCAAAGGGTTCAAAAATGAAAGGAAAAATACATCTCTCAAATTACTTAAAGTTATTTCTGTTTAGTGGAGGCATATCTGTTCTGGAACTTAACAAATTGTTCATAATATTAATATGCTGATTTGGAGAACTCATAATGTCTCCGATAAACTGAACCACTGCCTTTGTCAAGCTTCAGCAGGGAAAACCAGTTTCATGCATCCCTTTTCTTTTCTTTTCTTTTCTTTTCTTTTCTTTTCTTTTCTTTTCTTTTCTTTTCTTTTCTTTTCTTTTCTTTTCTTTTNCTTTTCTTTTCTTTTCTTTTCTTTTCTTTTCTTTTCTTTTCTTTTCTTTTCTTTTCTTTTCTTTTCTTTTCTTTTCTTTTTTCTTTTCCTTTTTTTTAAGACTACTGCTCAAATTGTTCTTTAAAAAATCCAAGAGGATAAATACGTATTAAAGACAGGTTTGAAATATTTATGTTAGCAGAAAAAAAATCTGAATGTCATCATGTATCTACATGCAACTGTGGACTGAGCAGCAAGTTACTCACCTTGTTACTAGTTTTTCTTCAGGTTGCTCTCGCTCTAAGAGGTGCTGGAAGTAGTTCTCCAAGGCCTGGGCTGTTAAAGTTTTCTTTAGGTATGGATAGTAGAGGGGATGCCGTGCTATTACACCTGTCAGGTACACTAGGTGTTAGTTGGAATATGAGATATTAAAGACAATTTGTACTTGTTCTTTACACACTGATTTGAGAGCACCCTTCCATCTGAAACTGCTCATATGGCTGCTTTTTAATGAAGGCCCAAATAAAAGTATATGACAGCTTTCCATTTGTCAGTAGAGAGGTAATGTGGAACAKGACAGGAATGCTCCCACACTGAAACTGGGCTTCCTTCTGACCACCTACATCTCTGCCAACGAGAGACACCTACAAAACAACAACAAAATCACAACAACAAACAATTCACGTGAAGCTTTCTTCCCTAAACAGCTTATGTGATTTAGAAATTTGCGACTGATCATAATAAAGCATCATCAGATCAGCTGGGGTACTGGGGGGCAATTGAAGTTTTGATTCTAGCCCTACACTTTGCATTGGATTCTGTTGAAATTGCGAGAAATCCCAGTTATGTGGCTTTTGTTATAAGCAGGCTTTAGTAGTGTTATGCAACTTCATGTTGAAGCTGAGGCTCCACAGCAGGATCAGGAAAGCAGGAGATTTCAGTCTCTCAGAAATTTGGTTCCCAATGCAAGAATCTCTGCATTTAGCCTTACTTTAATTTTACAGACCAAGTGTTTTGTTGTTGTTCTTCAACAAAGCAATAATTTTTTTTATATCTAAGGAAGTCTATTAATTACAGTTTACAATCTGACAAYGCCACTTTGCAGTAAGAGTCAATTATAGTTCAAACAAAATAAAGTCCTTCATTTTTCAAGAATACAATTTCACAAAGGCAAGAAAGCTATATTCCTTAGATATAAATGTGTTTTAGCACAATTACTGCACTATTAACGAATCAAATCCCAAACGCACCTTTAATTCATAATGAGCTTTGAACACCACATGCTCTCATCTTCCAACAAGAGAGCCATTTGTTGCATGCAGAAGTAAGGAATAGAAGGAATTATTAAACAATGCAAGAAGCAGCATAATCAATGTAAAGAGACTGCACACCACCTGGATTAATTATGTAATGAAAAATAATCTTTTACACGTAAGAAAAGCTTCTGCATTTCCTAGCACTATTGATGTTTTTAGCCATATATGTTAGGAACTTTACTTATGGAAATATTATGTATGATCAGACAATCAAGAGATTGAATTAGATAACACATATGCACAAGTAAGTAGCAACCAAGATAGAAAAGAAGTATTAAAAAAAAAAAAAAAAGAAAACATTTTCCTTAACTTTGGGGAAACTGACTTGGCAAATCTATAGCATTGTTTTAAAGTATTTTTAGTACCTTAGATTTCAACAGCTGTTGAACAGAAAACTACAAATATTTCATTAGTAAAATACTGGTTTTACATAGATGAATTTTTATTTCAGCATCAAGTGATGTGAGAGACTTTTTTTTTTTTTTTTTTTTTTAAAAAAAAACACTTGGTGCCTAGTTTTTATCTGGAAATCTTCCATCACTTTAGAAGGACAAGAAATAAGAATACCTATGTTTGCAGAATTGCCTTTGTCTCCACTTCTAGTATAGGCAAGGTCTTCTAAGCGGTAAGTGTGTGGACCACTTGGCAGATCTATACAACATGAAAATGAGCACATTTTAATAACAGCTACAAATAATGACAGGTTTTGAAGAAGCAGCCATCTTTTCAGTCTGTACTTCCAACACTGTAGTGCTCCCATGAAACTTCCCAAAGCTTTCTCCCCATACACCTACCAGATGATAAAACAGGCTAGGAGGCCAAACTGATCTCTCCTGCTCTTTCTTAACCCTTTTACCCTCGTACAGGTGAAGGCACAGATGATGGCAGCCATCACTTCTGCCACCTCTTCTTGAATTGATCCTGGTGTTAGGAGTCTATTATTTCTAAAGCAAACACAGCAAACATTTTCGTTTTTTGACAGACTGACAGCTTTTGTCCCATTAAGGCATATCCCTGCTTCCAGCGCTTATGGAAAATACATGTAATTGCTACTGTCCTGATAACTACTTGCTGCCTGTAGAAAATAGCCACAACTACCCTTTGAAGACAATGCAACTCTCCCATTCTCACTACTATAAAGATTATTTACTTGGCTACATGGAAAAATCCCAAGATTAAAATAAAATGACTGATTTTGTAAATACTGAAGTATTATGATTATGAACTATGACTCATGAGCTCCTCCTTGTTACCCTATCTTGTGAGTGAGGGGTGTGTGTGTATATATATATATATATATATATGTGTGTGTGTGTGTGTGTGTGTCTATGTGGGGTGTGAGTATATATAAATACATTTCATACACACACACACACACACACACACACACACACACACACACACACACAAGCAAGCAGCAAACCCACCCCAACCCAATCAGGAACCATACTGTCAGAAACTGGGGTTTCTGCAAGGTTTCACATCACAGACCTCTTCAACTTGTGCAACTGTTGACTACCAGCAGCAGCAGCAGCTTGTCACCATCTAGTTCCTGTTCCCTGCAGCAGCACACGTCGCGCTGACTCTGCTGCGCAGAGTTTCAGTATTTACTTGTAAAGGCCTAGTAGTGAGACTCAAAGCCTAGGTTATATCCAGTTTTGGGGAAGACARAACTGCCAACTAGCTTTGCTTCTGCTCCTATTGCCCTGTGCCCTACCAGCTCTGCTGGCGCCCAGAATCCGTTTCTTTTCAGTGCCAGCATCTCTATCAGACTTACRCTCCTGGGAAGCCTTTGCAGCCACTCAGTTACCACTTCCTGCCTTTTTTCCCTTTCCTGTTGTTTCCTCACGTTTCGGAGCACAAGTTAGCAGCTATTCCTCTCTCCCCGCTGCCTGGACGCCGGTAGGGGGAACATGCAGAGCACAGAAGCGACCGCCTCACAGCTTCCCCTCACAGCTTCTGTGCAACCGCTGGGCGCAGGCAGCGCTTTCGGGCCAGTCTCGCCGGGTCTCTCAACAGCCCAGACGAGGCAGTTCAGCACAGAGCCATGATGCAGAGCACGTCAGCTCTGAAACGCCAACAAACGTTGCTGAATACATGAGAAATGTTACTCCTCAAGTACTATACAACCCATTTCAAGMAGATTTTTCCAGATTGCAAGAATCCCTTCTAAAGTCCTGACTTTAAAAATCTCCGCTGTAAAATATGAAGAAACCACTGCACTGTTCAAATGAAATACTTGTAAGAGCTTTCAGCAAGGTCAAACAACGTTTTTATTAAAAATTTGCTGACAACCTTCTGAATTTTTTTTCCCTTGCATTTTCAAAAGTGATTGAGAGTATGGTACAGGCTTATCACAAAAAAAAATCCAGTCTTAGGTGTTAAGTTGGCATGTTCTAAGTAACATAAAATAGGGTTTTGTAAATCAAGTTTGCAGTGCAACCTACACACTGTCTGTAAGATACACTGCTATTTGAGAAAGCATCAGTCTCCCTTTTTTATTATGGCTTCTGTCGATGATGTCAAAGTGTTTTTTTTTAATTTAACAGAATGATGCAATATTAAGGATTTTATGCTCTAAGCGAGCCAAATATGAGATGCTGACCAAAGACAGGCTGTATTRAAAAAAGTTTGGAACTAGGTTAATTCAAATGAATTCTTGAGGTACCAAGGTATGTTCAAATTATATGTAAAACAAATTTAACAATATGATTAAGTTCAAGGATGATTTAAAGTGCATCTACTATTAAGGCATGAGTAAACAGGTATTCTGTAAGCAACTGTGTCAGTTGTATGGGTAAACCCWGGCAAACTCCGCTCACCTTCAACTCCTTTCTCTCTGCAGAATTCCTGATCCTCTCATCGGCTTGTACTCATCAAACACAAACCAGACTGATTTGAGAGAGCTGTAACAAAACTGGTGACAGGGAAAGAGATGTCCAAATTCTGCTGCTCACAGTTTTTACTGTCCTGATCAGGTAGGGAAGCTGCAAGTCTCTGGCAGCTGGCAATAACCCAAAAGTTAATTTGGGCATGGGTGACAAAATGTCTTGCTACAGCAGTTAAGAGGTAATTTATGCAGTACATCTTTGCCTGTGCTACTTATTTTGATTGAAATCTATCGGGGAGGACTTACAAAGGTAGCTCCACTTGCATATCAGTGGCCACAGCAGTGAGAACAGTAACAAACAAGAGGTCTGCCCATAGCAAACCACTCTGTTGATACAGCTGGATCAGAAAGATGACACTTAGATCCCAAACAAAACGTGCCGAAATAAAACTGCTCTAGTTCAGACCTGAAGTACATAATAAAAAGAATTAAGGTATGCCTTACTTGGTTTGTTTGAACTAGCCTTGTTTATATCCAGAAGAAMTGCATGCAGAAATGGGCCAGGAAATTTGCCAGAAAATATCACAGCRTCTACTTATTTAATTAGGAAATAATATTTGTGATTAAATAATACCTGAGCCATCAAAAGAAAGCATCTGGAATAGTCAAGCCAAAGATCACCAATTGTTTTGTTTTTATATGCCACCACAGAAATCATATTATTTTAAAGAATTGTTCTAGTCACAAGTCCACAGAAAATACAGTGTTTCTTTAAAGRCTGAAATATGACAAAGTTTAAATCATGTAAGCTGCCAGAGTCTTTCCTGCATCAAACATTTTATACAATCTCTGACAGTGTCTCCTTACTAAACCAGTTCTAAACTATTTTGGTGTTCCCACTTATTTTTGCCCTAATTATTTATCCTTCATCATCTGTTTATCAGGAAGCTGTTTTCATTTAATAAACATCTCAAACAAATCTACAAAAGAATTCTCCTCACAGCTGGGCTAAATGGTGAATTCAAATTCCACCCTCCCAGAACCACTTCTAGCAGCATTTCTGAAATCCATTTTCACATATTTTYCTTATCAGTTCAAAGACAAGTAACAGTCTCTCACACTCAAGATAACCATGAAACATAAAGAAAAATACTTCCCCCCCTTATAAATGCTGACAGAAAATGTTTCAGAAAATGTTTCCCTTTCACAGTCTAGCCTATTTATTTCCCATACACACTGTTCCTATATCGAGCCACAGAAGCAGGTAAGCTCTTARTCACTTCCAGAAAACAATTCTATTTACAACTACAGACAAAAGTTTAGAGGTCTTTCTCAAGGAAAACCACCACAGGATTCCTGCTGACCCTCAGAAGTGAAGTTTTGCCTGAGCAAAGCCTGAAGAATTCAGTATTTCTAACGCAGATGTCAGGCACCTCAGAACGTTTTCTCTGATGAAAAGGCTTTTGAGAGAAATGAGAAGTTTAATAGCTTTGTTTCACCTCTATTTAGCATTGCACTACCTTGAAAAAGTTGGAAAATTTGCTAATCTCTTTATTAAAGAGAAATAAACGACTTCCTATCCCTTAACTCCTATCCCGTTTGCTGTATTTTGACCTTAAATACCCTATGTCATTCTCTAGAACTAGAACTCCCAAGTATCTAATAGATTCTGCTATGAGCTTAGATTTGTAACAGACATGAGCAAGAGATAAATACATATTTAAGAGTTTAATCAGCCTCTGTGCGACATGTAAATGATCATATATTAAAGACATATTTTAAARGATATGGGAAAATTAAATCACTTATAGCAATTAGGCATTCAATATCAGTAACTTTCAAAGAGCAAGCTGTATCTTTCACAGCTGTATCTTTATAAAAGACATGAAAAAACCTCAAGATATCTAAYATTTTTTACAATTCTTAACCTAATACCTGACTTCTACAAACTATCCAGATTGAACACTTTTTTACTGCAGAGCTATATAGCTCAGCTCACTGATTTGTTCCTTTTAAATTTCTTTTCCTCTTTCTTCTGAATCTGAATAGACAAGTCCAAGAACAGCACAGGAGTTGTCCTGCTGGATTATTAGTGTAGAATGTTTTCTTCAGGTGTCAACAGTACTGGATTGGTATCATTCTTCTTTGTTACACGAAGCCTGTTTTATGGAATATGGCAGGACCATGGCCAATTTTTAATTATTTGTATTTTTAGTATTTTGTAAGTCTATTTGCCATTCTCAATGCAATTTTTTTAATGTAAAATAACATTCACTTACTTCCAGGATTAACAAAGTAAATTTGCAATTCACTTTTAAGTTATGTTTCAGTTTTAAGCCAGTATGCTTGTGTTTATAGTTGTGTCTAAGATTTAGTTGTTTTGAACAACCATTTATTTAAATACTTGCTACAACCTCCATTACATTTTATACTGTTCAATGCTAGGTTTAGGACCCTGCCTTTCAAAGAAAAGYAGCATTAAGTATTTTGCAGGAGAGTTCATGTGCAGCATAAGGTGGTAAAATATATTTTATGGGTAAAATCCAACACGGATGGTGATACATTAAGAAATAAAAGGTGTATATACCTTTCAATTCACTGTTCATCTTGGGCGGATCACAGGAAACAACTTCTTCTGAGGTAAATGTGAGATCTTCCTCAAATGTCTCAACATGCTCTCCATTTAAAAAAAGGTTGATCTGAAAAAATASCGATTTTTAAAACTATCTAACTAGATAAATCTAGTCCAGCATGTGTACAATATTTCTGATTAAATATGAATCTGGCACATTTTCAGTAATGGTTTTATGGATAAGGTGTGTCCCTTCTGAACCATTTTAAATAGCAAATAACAACAACAATAGCAATCTACTTTACTCCTAGAAGACAGTCTCATAAACAGAGAAAAATACAAAAAAAAAGAGTTATTGCAACAAAAAAAACATACTGCTGCATATCAAAGTGTTCTACCCAATTTCATGGATTTTAAAAGATGACAAATTTCCTCCCTATTTTCTTGAAGTGAAGCAGTACTATACAGAATCTTGCTTCACAATACTTACCAGTAAATCCTAAAATTGAAATCCAAAATCCTAATACTTGACAGTTTACAAATGAATTAATTTAATATCACTGACTATATGTAATTTTTGTGGAAAAACAAAGGAGCATCTGTTCATTTAGTAGATGGCTTRTCAGTCCTCAATGTCTTCAATCACATGCAGGTGATTGTTTTGATCAATCTCAAAAGTAAAGTCAACCCTGAATGATGTACTAATATATTTTACAAGTGAATAGTGAGTTTCTGTCTTCAGGTAAATTGACTGTTGTTATAAATTCTCTTTGATAAAGAAAATATAAAATAAATATATTAGGGGCTCTAAAAATAGCATATGCAAGGAACAGTAGCTTCTAGGAAATGCTTTGTAATGAAACTTACTAGTAAATGTTACAATCTTTAAGACTCAAACAGTTTTTGTCAATGACTTCAGTGAGAACAGAGCAGGCTTTAAGGAGCAGCTCTTACCTGGACATTGCTTTTGGGATAAAGGAAGAAGAATGGTTTCAAAACTGGAGACCTAAACACACAAAACAAACAGCATAAATCCATTTAATCAGAAATTAGTTCAAACATCAGCTCATGCATCTTTAGAGTAGTCAGACTTTGGAGGAAAAACAAAAAATAAACAAAAACTTAAAAGCTACTTAGTTGTGGTTAAGCAATGGTTTTCCAAATAACTTTGATAAGCCTGAAAAAAATCATTATTATGGAGCTTTATTTAAACTTCATTATTAAAAAAAAATTCTAAGATTTTGTAAAACAAAAAAACATACGCATAACCATTGAGAGAAAGAAAAGCAGAAACTTTAAAGGGCATCTACTGAAGCATTTCTAATATGAGGAATGTCCAAGCAATGTGTTGGTTTTTTTTTTTTTTTTTTTTTTTTTTCTGCCTTATTTTTTAAATCCTTAATGGCCTCAGGCATTTGGAGGTAAAAATCGGCATGAAAGCTTGAATCCATGACGGAATGATAAAAGTACCATAAAAAATATACATCTTGTCACTAATTACTGAGCATAATATGCAACTGAAAGACTTTTTAGTTGCTTTCTTTTTTATTGTAGTGTTGAGCAGTGGAAAAGAAACTTAATGATACAAACTGAACTTACACTCGTGGACGCCCTCCAACGACTCCTGTCAGACCAGGTGCTAGAAATGAAGATAAAAAAGAAAACGTTACAGGCACTTTCTCAACACTGGGACTCTTCTGTTTCGGGAGCCTGAATCATTCTTATAGTATATATAATRCTGAGAAGCCCTTCGCAAATTATGTACAGCATCACAAATCATTAYATCCAAACAATTTATGCAACAGATAAAAAGCTAACACACGTAAAAAGCACTTAAAAATTATTTCAAAATGTGTGAAATATGAAGAATTTGGTATTATTTCTGTATACCCTGCCAAGCAGGTACTACGCTTGGTAGAAAAATAAATATTTTTTTATTTGAAAATATAACAGAATTCTGAGCTGAACTATGTCTTTTTTAATAGGGTTTRAACAAATGGCTTTATTCTTGTTTCTCATCCTCCTTTCTCTTCTGCATTTTTCCTGGCTAATTTAGGTTAGCCGGGAAGGTGCTACATTCCTACGCATTTAGTTCTTAAGGTGCTGTGCAGTGGAAATCCTGTTCTCTTTGATACATGGGTAAATTTAGGGGCTTAAATCAGGGTGCAAACCTAGATTTACAGCACATCAACACCATGATTAGACTCTTGTCTAATCTCTATTAGGTCGCCAGGCTTTCATACAATTGAATTCATTTAACAGTTTAGTATTTCTGACAAACAGCTCTGCTGTCCCCTTCCTGAGGATGGGGATACATTATTTTGACACAGACAGTGCATGCATGATATATCAAGAGTCTATACCTGCTGACTTAGTAARGAAATGATAAATAGGATCAATTATGTTAGCCTAGGAACTAACATTCATGCAAGCAGTACCTCAAAAACAACTATGAAAAGTTGCTCACGCAATGTATTTACTCAAATTAAACCTAGCCTGACAAGCACTTTTCCTCATGCTTCTTTCAGGTGTGAATTCACTTTGTCCATGCTCCAAACAGACTGAAAGCCAAGTCACCGCGCCAGAGTCTAAGCCTGTGCTCATAACCTCTCTGTCTTGATAGGCTGTCCTAGCTTGGCCTCAGTGCCTTGCTAATRCGGACCTGCAGCAGTGGCAGCACCCACAGTGCAACACAGCGGAGGTCCCCATCCTGCAGTCGAATTCACTGGAAAAGTGATTTCACTGGAGTTACATTTAAAAGTGTATTTGATTAGCATTTAAAAGTGTGTTTGATTAAGTTTTTGAAAAGGGATGATGCTACATAAATTGTAGTTTTACCTTGTTCACACCACTCTATACTTGGAGACRCATTTAGAATCAACAATGCTTACATTCAGTGCATATCCAAATGGCTGACTCACGGATGATAATTAAGTAAAACTTAAAGTTATGGAAGAATTCTTTTGGCTGAGGCCAGTTCATGATCACTCTGCCAGCCTGGCCAGTGCAATTCTTCGGCATCATAAGCCTAAGTTCACATAAGCATAAGTTCACCAGATAAACAGTCTTCACTTACTGTATTTAGCCAGAGGCTAAAAAACACATCAATATTTGGAAGGTGCTAGAGTATTAATTACCATTCAATATTACCTCCCAACACACACACRCGCATGCAGAGTTAATTTTACTGAATCAAGCTCCCACTTTTTTGTTTAAGTTGCTGGAGAAGAGGCTGGATATGGTAAGGTCATGCTCAAAATATAGGTTCATAAAGTTAGTTCATGTAAATTATCTGYGGATTGTCACATGGTTGACTTCCTGCTAAGCAGCTGAACTGCTCATTAAGGATACCAGATTTTGCTCCAAAAATCAATTTCAACTTCCTGAAGGAAAGCTCTTCACTCGCCTGCTCTCACACGACAGTACTTGGCTCCCAAAACAAAGCAGTAACCTGAACACTAATAAGAAAACAACTCAAGAACAACAACRGTGCTCACACCACGAGGGTACAACCAACACCTTTTACTGCTATTTGCTATTACTATCTTGCAAAGTTCACCACTGTAATCCTTAGTTACAGCAAGCCAGTCTCTGGAAATAGTATAGATACCCTTGTAAATAAATACAATTGCAGAGCCAAACCACACCAATATCCAAGTTCCTCCTACCTAGGAGCACATATAAGGACAATCTATTTTTTTTTTTCTTTTACTGTATGTAATTCCTACTAAGATTTAAACCATGAAAGAGGAACTAAATCTTAAATTGATTTTGGTTTATGCTTGATGATTTGTTATTTCTGTAAACGGTGTGAGAGCAGAGACCTCACCTCCCATAGCTCAGATCCCCACTGCATTTCTCAGGTAAAGCAGGGAGAAGACAAACAAAGGTGAAGTATAAGCAGGTAACAGCTGATTTGCCACTAGCAAGAGAGCTATTTCTACAAAATTAATTGTGATCTCCTTAGAGCTACTGCTGTCTCGGGACACTTTCAAGGCAGGAAGACCTACTCATGCTGGACTTCATGCTCACTCTATGCTGCTTGCTTAATTTCTGCGCAGATGCCCCCCCACTCCTTTCTGGAAGACAACTTATCTTTGCCTACAGTGACATGTGGCATAACTCATTCACTGGACTTGCAGACAGCCTAAATCAGCATCAAGTCAGATTATGAGGTATCTTGAGGCCGCTGATCTTGTTACCTAGAAATTTTGCATGGTGCACCCCTTCCCCTCAGAACCCATGTCTTAGTCCAYCACAGCAGATAAGTGCCATCAACCATGGTGTCACCCTATCTGCTGCCATGAGCCTCTTGAAAATGTCCTTTCCCTTGCAGTGGGCCAGGACTCCTCACTGGCAGGTAGCAGCTTCTGCTCCCCCAGAGCAGCACTGCACCGGTGCACCACACTGAGCTGAATGCCTGTGCACAGTTGACAAAACAGAGCCCTTCCTTTCAGTCTGTCAACGCTCTGTTCAGCARCAGCTTTGGTTATAGAATTCGTCTGGTGTAATCATCGTATCAAATATCACCACACTTATTTTGCCTCCAGGGTCAAATTCAATAGGCTGCTGTTTTCGAGACCATTTTCTCTTACAATGCCTGAGGAGATGGCCTGATACTAATTCCTCTACGCAGCCGTGTGCTTAAAAGCTACAGGTCAGTACTAGGGATTATGCCATTTAAATGCCATTAGTTTAGTTTCGTTAACTTCCAACTATAAGGTATGTTTGGAAGAACAACAGGTACCAATTCCACTAAAGTCAGTGATAGCTGTAGGCACACAGCAYTGCTGTAATTCACTGCTATCTAGGCCACTAGGCTCTCTTTCACAACCCTTCCTCWGAGAATCAGCCTTAGAATCTGAGAATCAGCCTGAGAATCAATTTGAGTCTATACTAAGTCTACAAAGAAAGTGAATTATTTCTTAGCAAATGCTTCTCTTCGCTTAATCTGTACAATTCTCCCTACAGCCTTGCACTACCTTTTCACTGTATGATTGCTCCCTCTTGCCACCTTCCTGTCTTAATTTTCACCCTAATTTAAGAAAAACAAAGAAACAACAACAACAACAACAAAAAACTAATAAACAAAAAACACAAGTCTTCATAGCCACTGTGTGTGTGGATGTCAATACATTTACACATGCAGCTTTTTTCCTTCTGTCTATGATTCTTCCAGCTGCAAGCGACGTTTTTTTTTTACCAGTAGCAAGTGTCAGCCAAAGCTGAAGGATGGAAAAAACATCCCAAGAACCACTGCTGGTGGTTAAAGCAAAGCTCACGAACACCCACAGCCCGTCCTTCAGCATGGCTGCGGTGACAGGCGTGCTTGTAGATAATGCAAGGTAAAGTCTGATCAAGTGATTCTTCTTGRTACTGCAGCTCCACAGAGTCCCCTACATGATCTCATATATATGTTTTCTCTTTCCCAGTATGTCCCCTGCATCTCAATCTTTTTTATTTTCTTATTGTATGAAACTTACCTGAGGACTTGTTTGTAAATAGCAGCACTTTTAAAGCTCACATATCATCCTGTTAAAAATACAGCAAGTTTCCAACAAGTTTCAAGAACGCTGCTACCAAAAAGGAGTAAATAGTACCTGGCTTTACTGGAAAAAGACAGGACAGTTCATGTTGCTTTACATAAGGGCATGCACAGCTTGCCCCTCCTCATCCTTTGTCACCAATTCTTCTCTCCTCCCTTGCCCCAACTCTGATGTTCAAACAAACATATCAGAGTGGTTTTGCTGAAAATCAGCCCCAGGGAAAAGAATACTTAAAATCAGCCCTGAGGAGCACCAATTTAAGTATGTGTAATTGCCATGTTTTAATACATATTGCAAACAGATAACCTATGCGATCTCTCAAACCCTATAAAATACCCTATGGCAAGAAAAGCTTCTGTGGAAATTTGCAATCAACCTATGAGATTTAAATCTGCATTGAAACAAACTTCATTAATACCAGCCCTCGGAAGTGCTCACTAGAGACTTACTGGTGGGAAAACCTTCTATTTTGTCTCCTTAACAGTTCCTCTACCTTACTTAAGTGGTACTTTAAAGGCTAGATCTAATTCCAGTTTAGTATTAGTTATCTGTTAACCTACTCTCCAATTTTTAAGAGTTTTTGAACAAATCTACATACATATATATATTATGTATCTACATACACATATGACAGATCACAAGAAACTTGTTTCACAAAATGCTTTGTGAGTTAAAAAAAAGTCAAAATGTACTGACTAGTCAAAACCGAAGAGCTAAAAATCTTTTGTGTAGTTTAAATTCAATAAGTGACACATCTTTCTTTGTAACTTTTGTGTTACAAAACATAATCATGTCTCATTTGCTGACTTGTATTTTTTTGGTCCTAAATCATTTGCCCCTCATATTTCCACAAACAGAATGAACTCAACCAAAGGTCAAAGCATATATATATATACACACATATATATATCTTAAAATATGGAATATGTGCATTTTTGTAACAGTCAAAAAACCCTAATTTCCAAGAATTATGTTCACTGGTAAAACAGAACCTGAAATCCAGGATTTTACAGTCAACAGCACTTACAGTAGTGTTGAGTAAAAATATAAAGTATGTGCAATGATTGTTTATGGGGGTCAATTATATGTCCTTAATTATTCTATCCATGTCCTTTGAACAGAGCAGATAAAATATCTTCTGAAGTATTATTCTCAAACAAAAAAAAAAAAAAGGGGGGAACTGCAGTAAATTGTTAAAACTAGGACACTTCTCGAAGTATCTTCCAACACACTTACGAGATCAGTCATAATATTTACATATACTCAAGCACTTTAAAATATCAAGTTGGATTAACCAGCTGTCATCTTAGTGTCAAACTCCGGTCATTTCAATGTGAAATAAGGGTCAGCACATTATTTCAGCTATTACTGAAACATTTCTTAGCTACTGAAGCCCTAATAAACTAAAAATGCCAAATTCCCTCAGCAAGGCTCTTTCTGAGCCATTTTTACATTAGATTTTGTTCTGAATAAAATATTTGAAGTTACAAAAAAGTTAGATGGGATAGGGAATTTAAATATTTTTTTCTTTATACCATATCTAAAATGCTAATTGTAAATCTGTACTAATTGTATATTATGAGGACACTTTCCCTTACTACAAACCTGGTCTATGGTTATTAGCTTTAATGAAGCAAGGGTGAATTTTCTTTGACTGTACTATGCAGAACTGACCCAAACTCCTGCAGGCTACAACAGACTTAAAACCCTGAGCTCATGAGCTGAGGATTCCTCACTGCTGGGCTTCAACAGGCATTCCGGCGTCTTAATTCCCACTGCGATCTTAACAAATTACACAAAAGCTTCCTCTGTAGAACAAGGAAAGGGCTCTAAAAATCCATTCTGTTAATGCTAAACATTACAGACACACGTAAATCCTTCTTTTCCGAGCTTATGATCTACTCTCCAAGTACAGAGAAACAAAACTATGTAAACAAAAGGTATGATTTTACTAACTGGAGGTTTATTTAACTCAGGTAATAAAAAGTAAAAAACTTTTTTTCCCAATTTTGCAATTAAGTTTTTTTTTTAAGCGCTTTTATCTCTTTAACCTTGTCATAAAAGCAGGCTCCAAATGAAAACTGATTAAATATCATACTCAACAGAAGTTTACAATAAAAGTGTTCCCTTCCAAACACAGAAAATAAACAACATATCACTCTCACAAATCACATCTCTGTACACAGTAACTTCAAATTCTTCTCTAGGCTTAAGAATCTCTCATGCAAGCTTGAAACTGAGATTTGTAATGCAGAACATTACTGTATGCTCATGCACCTCAATGGTCTTCAAAAAAAATCAATGGTAATTAAAAATAGCATGAGGAGAAAAAAACAGGAAATAGCTATAAAAATTCTAATAATTTATTCTTGCTTATCAAAGTTCACATTTTTAAAGAGGTGCCTCTCCCAAACTTCTCTTGCAGATTCCACATCTTTTATTTATTGCAGGGCACACATACATAAGCCTCCTTCATCTTTCCCTTCGATGACCTGGGGGCACAGATTCTAAAGCTTTCTCCTTTTATAAGAACTACTGCTCCTATATAAAACCATCTATTATATATAAAAAAAATGTTTAAAAACAACCAAATCTGCAAAATCAGTGAGAAGTTAAGAAACACAGATGTGAAAACTTGTGCTTTTAGCTGTGTTAGTGGACCTCATTTCTGACATGCAAGACAGCACTCAATTTATAATGCTCCTCAGCAGGGTCTTAAATGATTCCTTTTCAATGGAAGTGTTATAGGTTCCTTTTCTTTGCATCATTGTTTTACCCTTATATTCTGCATGGTCTGAAAAAAGCATGGTTTAGAACTCCCTTGAAAATTCATCAGCTCAAAAAAATATTAAATGATTTCAGCTAAGCTTAGAACAACTTTTTTTTTTTTTAATGCTGGCAATTAGAGGAATACCTCAATAATAGATAGTTCTCATACTCTGATAGTACTGCCAAAATAAAACCAAGTCTAGCTCAGGGTGGCAAGTCTGACTAGCAGATGGAATGAACCTGAACACTTCCAGTAGTGACGGTGCTCCTGGATTCTGTCACAGGAGATGCAGCCGGTAAACACACACAAACCCAAGGGCCTGGCTTACTGCTGCCTCCCCTCTAATAAATCTGAGTACAGATAAGTCCTAAGGACCAGAGCAGGAGCAATTAGGACCTCCCTCCAGCATTTATTACAGAGAAAGCAGAGTGTAGAATTCTGACTGAAATTCTTTTTGGGTCATTCCTCCTTCCGCTATCTCAGGAAAACATCTCCAAGGCAGGGATAATACTTTCCAATATTTCTAAACACTGTAAAGCTTGCTTGGTTCACATCTACACAGCTTTCCATTCTTGGATGAAAGGTGCTGTATTTGACAATTACCAACTGTCTACATATTAAAATAACTGACATCAAGCTGCTACTGAGGTGAAAAATTGTAGCTATAATCACTATTCTTTAACCACTAGACACGGTCCAATTAAATGGAAGGAAATGTCTAGATTTTTTTTCTCTGTTACAAACTAAATGAATGTTATTTCCTAAAATTCAGTCAAAATGTTCAAAATGCAATAGATTCAGGTATTTCAACTCAAGTGATGTTACCCTGCAGATTACCAATTCCTCTTTTATCACTGCTGTTGGGTTTGGAGGATTCTTTCTTCCTACATTTCCTCAATTTTGCATTAAAGAATTTCAAAAAATAAGTTTGTTTGCAATCACTCCCATAGYCACTATCTCTCCTCCTGTAAAAGATACCTAATGCAGGAGAGCCATGCAGTGTTGTCTGCAGAAGAGTGTCTTTTAACAGTTCACTAGAGGGCATTCCTAGGTCTGCTGTTGACAACAAGTTTCTCAGCCATCACTACAGGCAGAAACAAAAAAGTTATAAACCCTTTCAGTATAAATACACTGCTAATTACTGGTCAGCAGTGTTGAACTGATTATTTTCCATAGTGAGACTTAGCAGTGAGGGCCGGCAGCTTGAAAACTACTGCTGTGGAAGAATATCAGAACATTCAACCTACTAAGTATTTAGGATCCCAAATCAAGCCACTTTCTGCGTACACAGGATTTATCTGTGCAGCTACTACGGAAATTACCATGCAAAAATAACCAAATATGACTGCAAAATCATTTTAATAATCTTTTAATAATCTCCACAGAAAACGATGCATAGTCAGACTGCCTACTTATGGGCTTGGTTCAAGCCTTTGGAAGCCAGTCAATAAGCAGTCTCAGTTACTGTCTGACACTGGTAATTCACCCTGAGGCCAAAAGATCCTGTAGTCCTGAACCTGGCAAGCAGATGAAGAGCTATTTATCGGCGGATTCCCCAGATGGATGATTCCAGAAGCAATGGGAAGGTTTCCCATTGCCGGTCATTAGTAGCAGTTCTATCAAGTGGATTTTTAGTGAATAAATGCTGCAGGATGTTCCAGAAAGTTCATTCAATTCCTTTATAAAGCAAAACCAATGCCTCCACACTTATCCAACCTGCCTGCCTAGCCTTCTATCTGATTCTGAACATAAACGTATCTGGATCTTCTCCTGGAGCTCTTGGAAACAGCTGTCCCAGGGCTTGCCAGCCACACTGAAACAGACATTCATATACTACAGAAACCTCAATTTTATACTATACATTGACACTCCACCCATTCCAGGTGCAGATTTTTGACAGCTATAAACACATATATGATAATGAATAAGTAYATATTTATCTTTAGTTTTAAGTGTATCTACTTGAAAAATGAAAAGGSAGAAACTCCTACTGTGAAAAACTACCTTTCATTTCTTAGGAAAAACTTTTTGGAAACAGTTTACATTTACAATAAATGTTGATCCAATAGTTTTTGCAACTGCAAATTATTTTTTAAATCTTGTCTACGAATATACCTAATTAGTTCTGCATTATTGTTTTCTATCTGGTAGAAGGAAAAGATAAAAACATTTTAAAAAAATGACCATTTGTTGACCCTGCCTCTATAAACACAACTTTTTTTTTTTTTTTTAAAAAAACCCACTATTATATTAGCTATTTCTCAGTTACCACTATGAAGACACAACATGCACACTTGCATACAGTTTTAAAACCACTGGAAATAAAATGTTCACTAAGTCCTTTACTGCAAAACAGAAAAAAAATCCCATTAACCAGGATTCTAGATTTGCTATAGAAGTTGACAGATTTATGTTAAGCTAATGTAACTTAATTTTGAAGATCCTTCAATGCCTCAATATACTCTTCTATAAATTAGCTTAGATATTTAACAGTAGCTCTGTCCTTGGAATTAACTGTCCAAGTTTTAAATGGATTAATAAATAAAAAAGTGAGTATCCATACAGTGGTAGCAGTCAAATCACAACATCTGAATGTGCTGCTTAAACTSAGCAGTGACACATAGAAATCACTTGCGAATAGAACAGTAAAGAACAGCTTGCTCAAAGTAGTCAAGGAGTAACTTCCTAAAAAGTTAAGAGAATACAATGGAATTTACAAAGGACTGGTGCAAAGCTGCTTTTTTTTTCCTTTTGTTTGCTTTTTTTTGATTTTTTCATATAACAGAGAAGGTAAACAAAAGAAGCAGATATATATCTGAACAGATGGTCCTTATTCATTAGTCACAAAAACAGTTAAAATGTGTGCTTAAACTGAGACATACATACATATATGTGTGTATATACATATATATGTATGTAACTAAGATGTATACGATGCAAGTATTTACCCATTCCTGTTCCAGCTGGTGCAATCTCTTTGGAGAAGATTTCTACAGCTTCTTTTTGCTTATGGTGTACAGCAAGCCAAATAACAGCTTCCCGAGGACCCTGTTTCCAAAAAGGTAGAAAATAAGAGTCATAGGATTAACTTAYCTGCACAGCATTAAATTTGTGAAATTGTAGAACAATAGTAGCTCACCATTTAGATTAACAGAAATTTTAGTGAATGCCACTACTAACAGCTAGAATAATGTTCATTCGGGGATATTTCAAGTGTAGCCAATATCACCATAATTTTCTATTATTGATTTTATTTACCCTGAAATCAACTATTGGATATTTCACATTTCATGGAAACAGCGCATCTTCTACAGTTGTCTTACAGCATTAAGTACTAAAATAATATTTTACAACAAAAGAAACATTTTGCTTCGTTCTCAGTGGAATAGGCAAACTAACTTTCCTCTTATTTTAAGCCTATTGAAAATATTTGAAATTACATCAGACAGCCACATTCTCTTACTTACATTAAAAAGTAAGCAGATCTCCCGAGGGAGAAAATAAAATAAAATAAAATAAAATAAAATAAAATAAAATAAAATAAAATAAAATAAAATAAAATAAAATAAAATAAAATAAAATAAAATAAAATNAAAATAAAATAAAATAAAATAAAATAAAATAAAATAAAATAAAATAAAATAAAATAAAATAAAATAAAATAAAATAAAATAAAATAAAATAAAATTCCTTGGGAGTTAGAAAGAAGATTGGAATTTATAAAAACCCTGATGTTTCTGAAGATGCCCGACACCGATCTAAAGATAAACCTGACAGGTACACTGCCCTAATCTACAGTCAGCTAACAACCCCTTTAACAAATAAGCAGGCATTAACTATCTCTCATTGGGGATTTTCATTCTGGAAGAATCTCTTTCCGACAACTGAAAGATCTTCCATAGGATCAACACATCAGTAAAAGGCTTAAAGTGAATGCCAAGACTCACTGAAGGYAAAGATAAGTTTTTGGTCTATTAGTAATACTTTCTATTAAATGCAATTCCTTTATACTAAAGAAACATAACATGGCGCTCTTATGTATACAGAAATAGTCAGCTATGTACCTGGCCATAAATTTTAAATATTCTTCTATTAAATCTAAGGTAGAACTTTATATCTCATGAAGCCAAATTAAGCTTCTGTCAAGCAAACAAACACTTTTATTATGTGTACTTTCTTCAAGAATTTGCAGCCATCAGTAAGAACGTTATTGGATACCCCAGTCTTTTAAGTAACATTTCAAAGTGGAGGCCTGTTGCTAAATCTATCTCCCTTCTTCAATAAATTCATTGTTCACATGAAGTGGTTCTGCATAAAGGTAGCAAAATCTCTGGTTCAGATTGTCCCACAAAGCATCATGTAAGTATGGAATCCTGCTGAAGGGTATTTCTTCTTTCTGGTAGCCAGCTATATTACACAATTTAAGTTCATGTTAAGTTCATGKCCAGTTCATGTCCAAGGTCACATCAGGCTTACATAAACTTTAGTTTTTCACTTCAGACATGATTCCCCAAGCTCAGTTTCAATTTGTCTTTCTCTATGTCAATGAACAAACAGAAAATTTCTAAAGGTTATCAAACTTGCAGGGAATTCTTGACTTACTTAAATGAGTGCAAAGCTTGAAAAAGATGAGTTTGACTAAGAGAATAATAAGTGTTTTTTTCTCCACCTTCTATGTCCAGTTTTATGTCAACAGGAAAGCATATATTTCATAGAAGCATGAAAAAATGTAACAGGGTGTTTTCCATAGTACTCAACGGACTTGATAATTCTTCAAATGTCCCGTCTAAAGGATACAAACAAGTTCAGTAGCTATTATACTAAAAACATGATGTACAGAAGTGAATAAAACCTCCAAAACATAGCTACTTACAGGTGAAAAGAATCTTTTCCAGGAAGAAAGGAACTACGAGATTTTGGGAAATTCAAGATAGTCTGCCTCTATTCCAGAAGAACCCAATTTACTCCCTGGAACTCTAGCAAATTTAACAACAATGTAAGATCAAACAATCTTCCCCCTTCCTCCCCTTCAAATTTAAAAAATGACTAAACATTTTCCATTAAAAAAAAGAAAGCTAAAAGCTCACCTCTTTGAAATAAACAACAAAACTAACTTGCTATGTCTAAACTCCTGTTTTGCCTAGCAAATCACATCTTTTAATCATATCTCCCAACTATTAATTATTTTAATTGTCCACAGTTCTGTAAAGGCTGCACTCTTTGACAGCATTACACATAAAAAAACCAGCCCAGAACACTAAAAGTTAAGCTTTTGGAAATACTGATGTCTTGTATATTAGAGACATTTTCTGGTGTGCATATAGTACCATGTGCCAAAAGCAGTATTGTATGATGTGTTTATGTTAGAAAAATCTCAATTCAGGAATAAATTCAACAATATGTGAACATGGATGCATCCATGTGAACATGGATCCTACTGGYAACTGCTGAAATGCTGTATATAATGCATGTTGTAGTGCTCTCTACCAAAATCTTGGATACTGTAAGATCATCCAGAACTACTCCATCAACATGTATCACTAAATTCTGTCTTCTAACAGACAACACACAAAGTCAAAACACCTGAATGAACAAACTCCCTTATGCCAGTTTATACGAAGAGAGGGAAACTTTCTGACTTGACGGTTGCCAGTCAGCTAAGACAACGATAAAACAAGCCTTGTTTCAGTATTTTTAAGCCAAATTCCAAATCATTTGTTAATTTGAGACAGAATTTCACTACTTACTACTCTAGGGGCATGTCTGCAGAGTACTGTAGTACTGAAGTGCTCTAAACTGATGCAGTTGTAAATCCACACTTTTAGTTAATTTGTTTCACCTTTTTAAGTAGCTACTATTTAAACATACTCATAAGTGTCAGATGCACTGTTCATTTCTCAGTCTCCAAAATCCCTGCCTGGAAGAAACCTGCAAAGATTCTATCGTGCAGAAATACCTGCAAATTTGTTTCACATTTTTATTAGTTTGCCTCAATACCCATGTAGGCAAACCCTAGAAATTATTTGTATTAAATATAGGTTTATTAATATTTAATGACATATCATCTTTGACAATGTTAGATTGTTATGAGAACTGTTACTACACAGCAGATGTACAGCCACTAGTAATAATTAGCTATTAGTAATAGTTAGCAGGAAATATTCTTGCAGAAAACACACTTCTGCATTCACAATTGTTTCCTAGTTTTAAACTCTCATATCTTCAAAATCCCATAAGTGCTATATTTATTTCCTTGCCAACAGATGCAAGATAATGAATGACGCAAAAGATCTACAAAACCAAAAAAAGGAATTGTGTTCTGAGTGTGTGAATCCAGTATTGAAACTGAAGATGCACACTATCCTTAACAGTATCATGACCAAACAGCACAAGAAGAAATAAAAAAAGACATTCTCCGTGAAGTCTTAAAGTTGTGCTGGAGAGTCAGTAGACAATAGATTTTAACTAATGAGTAAAGTTATGYGCTTATTTCCACATTCAGCATAGCATTAAGCATACATTTTTACATATATATGTATATGACAATTTATATTTTGCAACCCTAATGCCTGTAATAAGCTATTAATACACATTTCATACGAAACCCCTCCAGTGTTTCCCAACGATGAACTTGTGGATGCCATGACGCTTTGTTGACAGCCCCCTACCTGCAGGCCCACTGAAAACACAAAGCAGATGTGTGAAAAATTAAATACCCCTAAAATAACTCAGTGCTGGTTYGTGTCCTTTCATACATGCTGTGATGCTGCTGCTAAAGCTGTAGCTAAACAAGCCAACTGTCTTTGCTAATGTAGCCAAACCTCCTCCTCTTCCCCGAGGAATACCCAGTTAGACAGACCTGTGTGGGMATCAGCCTAGTCACGCCAGACATTTACAATGAGCTGGGAGTACCGTTTGATAGACTTTTCCCATCTTATTATCCATATACATATTTGCTGCTCTTCTATAAATTTAGATGGAAAAATTTTCAAATCAGGGACTATTTTTGCATGTGTTAAGCGAGGCTCTGGTTTTGGCTGCTGTTATTTGCAATTCAAATAAACTTACCTAATTTTGCATGGAAAGATGCACTGAGAAATAGTGYTGAAGAGAATACACTATTCCTGCCCGAGAGCCCAGAAGGCACATGTTTTGCCTGGGATTCCACAACCTTGTATGTTAAATGCTCAAGTAAAGCTCCACTCCTCTTCTAAAGCTACAGCTGCTAGTTTCCAGATGAGAATTTCTGCTTAGTTTCTTCTAACTGCTGGAGGAAAAGGGGTGAAAAGGGAAGCAGAAGGATTTCCCATATTTCAGCTCCAGCTCTCTGTATACAATATATGGAAGCATTTAAAAGAGAGATAACACTCTATTTACTTTTWAWTWAAAAACAAACAAACAAAAGAAAAACCTGAGAGCTGTGGCTGAAATACAAGAAATACTAAAAATATTCAACTTTATTTTGAAGACCTATTCAGTGTGCCATAAGAAAGACAAACAGTAAGCAGCATATTCTCAAAAATCATCATTCATTCTATACTATRTAACCATGTTATTAAGGGATATATTACAATGAGTAATCATAAGGAGCTRGTACTAACAGAACATAGACAACATCTGGAACATCTGCTCCTACGTTTGAAAAATCTGATTCTGCAATCTCAGTCATACACTTTTAGCATAGGAGGATTTAATCCTAAAAAGGAAAAAGATCCTATTATTGAAATGGTTTTCTAGGAAGTGACTTCTGCTGCCATGGAGAGATAAACTGAAGCTCCAGCACTAAAATGAACAGCTGCAGATATAACCTACACAGTTTCTATGAATAATTATTTTTTYACAGTAAGAAGTTCACTCGCTTTCTCACTAACATATGCTTTTGTAAATACAAATACTCAGCTATTTTAAAGGCTGACATTCCTTACATCAAATTCTCAGAGCCGAGTTCTGCCRCATGTGTTCCTTACAGTTTTGCAAGAAACTGCCATTTACAAAGAAGAATTAATGCTACTGCTTTGGAAAAGGCTAAACTGTCTAAATATTTAAAGTGTATGTAAGTGAGGACAAGATTTACAACTTTATAGTAATAAAAAAAATTCTTAATAGTTCAATAAAAAAAGGAGACTTCCGTAACATAGATGAAGAACACTTAATGTCTCAGTTGCAACGGTCTTCACTCAAATTCTTACATATAAATATAAGAAGTTACAAAACATAACACAAAATGAAGACTGTTTCAAGAAGAGTGCTCACAGACACTTTTAAAGCCACATAAGAAATAATTCTGCCATTTCCTGATTCTGCAGCTTTTATACTATGGTCTGTCAGAGTTATCTTCAACTCAGTTTAAACGCATACATAACAAGAACCTTTTTATAAGATATTTACGTGAAAAAGATCACAACAGACTATAACAACATCTTTGTAAGACTTCATAACCGTTCTTCCAGAAAAGCCAATATTGCAAAGACACGAGTACACTTTTGTACACTAAGTAGTGACACTGAAATCTTTGCAACATGATGGGGTGAAATTCCTGGGATGATAGTGACTTCCTTTAAAGTTACAGAAAAGATAACAATAGAGAGAGATTAACAGAGGTCAACAGAAGTTTAAAAACACTCCACGAATACTTACACCATCTATATTCCTTCTAGCGTGAGGTCCGTACGTATCTTCAGACCCTAAAACCTGTATGTTAACTGCACTGTAATCTTCATACCCAAGCTGATTGAAAATAAGACGAGTCCTGCAACAAAGGATGTTTTATTAGTGAACTGTCTYAAAACAGTTCTTTGCAATAGTCTTCTATGGTCCACAGCAGTTAGCTCTGCAATGCAGACTGCAATATGAATACTTTCCACTATCATCTGAATTTAYCCCTGGGATTCAATTTGAATCTTAAGTTATTTAAAAGATAAGCAAATATATGGATTCCAGATCTCTTACTTTCATCTTTAAGATAAAGAGTCTGAAATATAATTACATTACAGTATTTCTTTTTTTGACTCGAAATTTGGTCTCTGTTTTTCTCCTGCAAGACGTCATGAACAACTTTTGACTATATGAAGCTATATCACTACATCACAGGAACCATGGAAGAAAAAATTAACTTAAGAAGGAAATTTTATTCAAACTTTAAAGGTACTTTTTTGAAGTAATAAATACATCTCAAATGCCAAAAAATGAATTTTTTTAAACAGAACTTTAAACAGAAGACAGTGTTTCCAATAACTCTCAAAGAACAGCACAGTGTTCAAATGTGATACAAGCTGAGAATTACCACTGTAGTTTTTACAAATAATTGAACTTCCAAACTATTAAGCACCTAAATTGGTTTTCCAATGACCCTTTGTTTGGCACCTTTCTAGCTGTTCAAAAGATTTCATCAGTTGAGATTGGAAATTATGTTAAAATCAAAAATATTCTGGATCCATGGAATGCTTCGAAAACACTGTTAGTATATCATAATTGTCATTATTAAATGTGGTAACCAAGAAGTATAGTAATAAATGGGGCTTAAATATAAAATACAACTTTAGTTGTATAGAAATTAAAGAGGTCAGCGTACCATAGAATGGTGTATTTTGGTGACCACAGAAAGATAAATACTCAGTGTGAGACATTTCAATTTGCAAACTATATTTATAGCTAATTATTTTAAATTATTTACCTAAAAATAGTTAGCTAGAGACATGAGAATTCAAAATATATTCCCTGGTTAATTTTTAGCCCATTCATGTTCCTTCGTRATGCAATGGAACGGTTGAGGACTCCTTGAAACAGACTTCACACACACTCTGCCAAATCTTTCTTACATTTGCAAGAAAAAATGAAAGCAGTAGTCATTCCAAGCTGCCAAAGCTACTTAATGCCTTAGGTTGCCTATTAAGCTAAGTTGTATAAGTGAARCAGCATCAGGAATTTCATTTATAAAGCCCCAGAAGCCAGCTACTTGAAAAAAAACTTAATTGTCCTTATGATATTTCTTTTGAAAAAGAATAGGACTGAGAGAAAAGATTGAAATTAGTGCTTCCTAAGAAGATACGGTTCCTGGTCAAGCTTTCTCTGATAGAGATCAGAAATACCTTAACTCTCACACTGCGTATGGGTCCATATACACAAATCTGCTGGACATGTTCAGTAAAAAACTCCTCACATGAAGCTGTTCTCTAAACTATAGGGCAATACTCTCTATTGTTTTTAAGGCACAGAACTAGGAACAGTTGCTTTAAGCACGACTCATGGGCTAGATGCAACTTGTGAGGCCAGCTAAGCGTGGCCTCAGGCCGTAAGGTTCAGCAAGGTAAGGTTCCTCAACATTAAGAGGAATCCTTCTTCCCCCACATACACTGACCTGAAAATATGACTAAAGGTTTATTAGGYCCTCCACATAGAACTTTTTCTGGCAGAGAAAATAATGTATGACACTTGACAAGGGTGCAGAACAAACTTTAAACACTTAACATATCATCTTGGTAAACTGCCTATATTTCATAGCACTAAGATTCTTCATAAAAGGAAAAACAAAAAGTTCTGTGGGAATCAATGCAATCCAATTTCATTTGGATTTCTTTCTGACATCTAATAAATGTTTTTCTGATTTGCAACTTCTCTCATTAATCTGGGTCCCTCTCTGCTGTTTAGCTGTCTACTTTCAGCAGTTCACTGTTCTATTTTGATGTTGATGCTAAAACCAAAACGTAAAAAAACACTTCCAAATCCCAAACACCAACCTTTTCAGAATGCTTTCCGCAGTACACTTCCCTTTTTGCACAGCCTTTGGCCCTCCCACTGGGCAGACAGCAGTAGCTCTGAAACCATCAAGGTAAGTGGCACTTACCTAATGAAGAGGGAGCATACGATTACATGACAATCAGTACTGACACACTATACATCTCCCTGGCAGGCAGTATTCATCCATACACTAATCAGAAGTGGAAGAAGTCATCATCATGGCATCAAGAAAAGAGTCAATTTCTTGCCTTAACCTTCCTTCTGAAAATATCTCTTTTTTTTTGCCATTTTTGCCATCAAGTTTTGCCATTATTTAAAACAGGAAAGTGATCCAGCCCTACCAGAACCTCACCAGAATTGTATTACTTCCGATATCTGTTCAAGAAATTGAGACCACTAGAAGAAAAATGGCAAATAAACTTTGCACTTTTAGCTGAAGTGCAAATTTCTTTCAGTAGAATATTTCAAGAGACTACACGAAAGACTATCAGTCTTCTACTTAATTGCTATCTTGACATATGTAGTCACTCGGTATTTAACTTTTGAAGAACAGCTGACAGATGTATTTCCATAATGAAATACACGATTGTTGTGTCAGTATAAAAATGAACAAACAGTGTATAAACAACAGTGGGATGACAGACTGTTTTTTGGAAATTGTAAAAGAACCACCTCAGCCTTTTCTGGAGATTCCTGGATTTTTTTTTCTTTTTTTTTTTTTTTTTCTTTTGGTTACTCTTGAAGGAAGAAAAAAAGTTCAAGATTAATGTGGTAGCGGTTCTTGGGACAAAAATACTTAGTATTTTCTCCAAATATGTCAGATTTTTAAGATCAAAAATACACTCAGCATAAAGAGATAATACCTTATAAAATTTTGAAGGTGGTGATCCTTTTGCTCCTTGAACTTTCACTGCCCCACCTTCAATACCTAAAATAATTAAAAATTAATACTTGAAGCTTCTTCAGCATAACTTTAAAGACATTTGCTTGTGATGCATATCAAATTTAAAACCACATCACTGGTAGCTGCACAGTCACTGTTTCACTACAGTCCTTCATACCAACACAGACAGCAAATTGGTGACTAAATTTATGACTTCAATAAGTATTTTAATACAAGGCTCGAAATGTTTATTCATGTACTTCAAATACTTAACACAGAACATAACCTTAGGACTTTGGACCCAGTAATTATTTTCCAGTTAATAGCCAGTTATTGCAGACACACAGAGCATGCAGTTTACTGTAGTTGGCTGCAGCAAACTGACGTTGTTCACTTGGGATATAAATAAAACAGGAGAAAGACAAGAAACCTGATTTGCTGCTAGCTTGGTAAGCGAAAAGGAAATTTAACGTGACTTTTCTTGTTTCTAACAGAAATAAACAGCCCAACCACACGTTCCAGAGTAAATACTCTCCTCTGCCAGGTGTATTATATCAATGTCCTATAAGAAATAAGAAAGTAGAGAAAATAATCCCACGTCATCAGCTTTGAGCTTGCACTGCTGAAAATCAATAGGCATAGTCCCTTGGAAATTTGCATTGCAAGATAAGCACCACATTTCTGTGTCTACCCAATATAAACTMAATTATCCCATAGTTCACCCGTGGCTAGTGTTTGCTCCAAAGTATTTAGAAAACAACTACAAGATTTACCTAAATATTCTGAAAATATCGGAAGATAGCAATTCCTTAAGCATTTATCTGAACAATTGAACAGATCTAGCAGAAATTTTATACATCACTCAAAACTAACACTATCTCCACAGTTTGACATAAGATTAATTGACTGTCAATACAGAACAGAATCTCTGTGGTCAGAATAACATTCTGGAAGAAGTTTATAAGCCAGGTGATGCAGAAGCACTAACAAAACCTCACAAAACAAAATGCATGGCATTCATTGACAAAAAGTAAAACAGAAGCACCTCTTGGTCCCAGCAGTGCAACTAATCCAAGAGGATAATAAAACCAGCAATGTAAACAGCAAAAACAGATAGCTTACCCTGATCTAACTGGAGTACGTGTCAAAGCACTTCAATCTAAAAATATTTAAGAAATCTGCCTATTTTCCATCTGTTATATTTCTAAGAGGACTAACTAAAAGTTCATGTGAAAGTTCATTTTAAGTTCAAACATGTCATATTGGGTCATTTGCAAGCTAAAAGTTCATAGGGAGGTTAGGCTTCTCTCCTCCTCTCCCCCTGCTTCTTTTTTTTTTAAGGAATAATGGCTCAGAGTAACAAGTCAGCCTTGCTGGACTCTCATTTCATTATGTTGCATGGGCAGAAATTTCACTGTTTGGTTTCACGCTACTTGTACTACTGAAGCAAAACATTTCTGATGTTACAGAGTATAGAATATTAACACAGGAAGTTTTTGAGATTTCAATTGCAGTAGGTTTTATAAGATCACTTAGCATGCTGTTAGCAATTAGTGCCATTAAAATAAAAAACCCTGTATGTAATACAGATGCAATACAAATAAATGTCCTAATACTGGAGCTAAACATTTTATTGTTACTTTTTAAATAAACTCACAAATCTTAAAAAACAGGAATAAAAACAAACAGACTTAAAGACTAAATCCAGAAAGAATTTTATATCCATTCTCAGTCTGCTAATACATCTGTTCACAGATTTGATGATGACAAATGGGTCCCTTTCCTAAGGGAGGTTCTCCAGGACACAACCCGTACACCAAGCAAGCTCCTACCAGTTAAGATGACCCATTAGATATCTAGGGAAAAGTCATTATGAGTAAAGTTTTCCAAGGTACAGCTGTTCGTTCTTATTACCATTTCATATGACATGAGAGAACATCTAAAAGAAATACAAACCTTCTAAATCAAAGCACCTGAGCCACAACAATAGAGATACTGAAAGCTCATAGTGGAGCTTTCTCAGCATTGCTCGCACACAATACCTGGCTTACAGACTTGCTAAGTATAAGACATGAATTCAAATAGAAATGATGAAAAAGGATCAAATTATCAAAAAGAAAAATGATCAAAAGATTTACATTAGTCAATAAACAAGATAAGATAAAGTTTCCACACAAATATCCAACAAAATTCCTCCAAAAACAATCAGCCCATCAAATTTATCATACTGTGAAGAACAGACTTAAGAAGGAGTATGCAGAGAAAAAAAAATGGAAACTAAAGCAACTGCATTAGATTGACAACCCAGTTCACTGACACAGATCTCTTAACATGTTTTAGGACTGACCTGGAATTTCAGTGATGGAAACTTCAGAAAAGTCACAYGTGACATCTGGCAGGAGATAGCGCTGCGGGTTGCCAACCTCGTACAGCAATTGTTCGGCCACGGTGCCAAAGGAGATTAACCCCCCTGTGTCGGGGGGTTTGGAAATAATCAGGTCTCCTTCAGAGGAGCATTCTACAATGGGGAAGCCTATGTTATGCCTGGAACATCAAGAACACAAAGACAGAAACTTATAAATAGAAAAGAAGCGGGAGGAAAGAACAATGATTAACAGCGTATCAGCGTTTTCCCATCATGACCAACTAAATTTATTAATTTAAATAATTAAGAACATATCTGATTGCTTCTGTAGAAACCTATACATGAAAAACCACTGAATAAACGGTTAACCAAGATAACAAGAGGATACATTTTATTGCCTGCCAAAGCAGTACAGATAAAACATCAAACATCAATAGTAAAGGGAAAGGAGATGAGAAAGGAATGGAGGAGAAACCACAAATTAGGACACCAACAATCGTAAAACAAGGAGGGGCGCCAACACTTAGAGGAACTATAGATGAAGAGGCTAACTCAGAAGAAAAATGTGATGGCCAGTTCTGAAGACAGAAGAGATGGAGAAAAAAAAAAGAGTAGGATGGCACTACTTAGTCTGGCTTTAGCAGCAGACACAGAATGAAGGCCACAGACCGGCAAATGTAGCCTAGAAACGGATTCGTAAGGAAGTCAAGCAGTAAAAGAGTCTGTGCTGGAAATCTCAGAAGTGAAGAGAAGCAGGAAATCAGAATAATCAYAACTATTTGTTGTGACACAATTTAAGGACAATTTTACATGTCTGTGGTAAGTTATATGCACACACACACACACACACAAAATCACAGTAAGAAAGAAGATGAAATTAAGACCTCTAGACCAGAACAACAGTAAAACACAGAAAAAAGAGGAAAATAAATGATCAGATGTGGCAAGRGGGGGAAGGGAAGCAGTAAAACTGCAAATTACAGAAGTCACGATTAAAAGATTAAAATCTTTTACGCAATAGTTCAAATCACTTTATTCTCCAAACTATCTTTGGGTGCTAGTGAGAACAATTCGCTGAACAYACAACCAAGCTGGTTATTAGCAAAGGTTAGATGAAAACAGTTTGGATAATATAATCCACAAAGTTTTAAAGGAAGTAAGTAAAGTAACCAATGAACTCTTATAAGTGACATTTGTAAAAGTTCATGGGAGCTTGGACAGATTCCTTAACATTGGGAAGCTCCAAACATAACTCCGTTATTTAAAAAAAGGATTAAGAAATAAGCTCTGTTACTAGAGATCAGCWACTTCAACATTGATTGTATACAAAACTTGGAAACTGTGCTAGCTGGAGAACACCTAGAAAAGTCCACCATGAATCATGAGAGATCATACTTCATTAGTCGGGTGTTTGAAACAGGAAACAGATAAAGGGGTGGGAAAAGAAAATCTGTGTACACAAGAAACTGAATTTGCAAGAAGCTGTTTATTTAAGATGATTCTAGATTTTTAGGGGGGACAGGAGGAGGAAGAGATGTTGGCAGACATTTATGTAACATTCTTCATTTTAGAATGTGAATAAAAAACAATATTCTCCGAAACAACTCTCAATGGTCAGCTTCATTTATTATTTTACAATGGTGTTTGAAGATAATGTAATTATTGCAGATAATAAATTTTATAGATGAGGCACATACAGGAAGGAAGGCAATTCACCCAGTGTTACACAACAAGGTGAGTGATCTAATAAGGTTATAAATAAGGAGCTTTTAACCTCTTAGTGGTATACTTGTGTGTTCTAACCCTATTGCCACCTTTTCTTCAGGCAACACCCCTCTGGGTGCCTTGCTAACAGGCTCAATGCAGATTATTTGAATCACTTGCTCAGAACTAAAAATCACTTCATAGAAGACAGACTCCTCAGTGTAATCTAGGTGGTGCAGCTACAACACAAAGTAGTAGGGAGCAGAGGTATCCTTGCTGCAACCTGCCTTAAACTAAATCATCAACACTTGCAACACTTAGGACACATTTGTGCCCCAGAGATGTTTGTTTTGAAAGAGGTAAACACTGGAGATACTCGACTTTCCATTCTGAACCTCTGAGGTTGCTAAAACTCACGGAGGGAGGGGAAAAAAAAAGAAAAAACAAACAGATTAAACTTTAATTTACCCAGGGTCTATGCCCAAAAGATTTGGGCTGCTAAAAAAAGGATCCAGGAAACAAGACAACAATGTCCTGAAGTAATGCTGGGACTGCGTATCTAAAATGCTGGAAACTGGCAATGGCTAAGCTCCCCAAAAGTAAAGACAAAAGCCAAACATCAATATAAAAAGCACAATCACTTAAGGCATTTGATATGTGAAATTATGGATTTCCTGGTATCTTAGAGCCCTCCCATGGGATCTTTTTGGCAATTTTCAWTTTTCTTTTGGAATTTCTCACATCACAACAGTATTGGAGACCAGACAGGAACAACATTTCCTAGAATATCAGCAGAGATGTTACCTGCTTTATACAAATGCTATTTCTGTTCTTGTCACTTACAGCAAAGGATTGGCACAAAGCTTAGAAGAGAACAGTATGAAGATGAGGAGACAGTCTCACAGGAAAGCAACAGGGTAAAAATGAAAGCAGCGATCTTCCAAGGGAGAGCAGGTCGATACAGAAAGCTGGGCTGAAAACTTAGATGTCTACGTCGAGACAGAAACTAAACTTCTAAATTTTCTTATGTCTCTCTGTATCAGCTGGGCTCCCACACTCCAAATCCCCCATTTCCAGTGCAAGTCTTCTGCAGTGTTCCTCTGGCAAAGCCCCACCGAGACACGGTCAGSACTAAACAGTCAGGAGTGACAATAACTGTTCCTGCTGCATAAAACAAACCACGAAGCACTCTGAATGAAATACATGTATTCACAATTAAGAATATTTTCTGAATCTGAATACCTGCAAGTTAATTTATCTTATCCATATATGCCCATATCACATGCAGTACAAGTATGATCACCTGACACAAATAAAAAACAAAACAAAAAAACAGCAACAGTCTCCATCCTAAGCACATACAGGGTGTCAAGCCACACAGAACAAGAAAAAGCCAGGCTTCTAGCACTAGCGTTGGTCATGTTCAGGTATTTATAGGCATTCATTAGGCATTTATACTGTACAATTGCTAAATTAGTGCAAATGAACCCAGCAAGGAGCCCCCAGACTGCATCTATTTTGCAACATGACTTCTTTGGGAAAAGATCACATACTGCCTCACAACAGATGCCAATAATAATTGACATTAAAATGAACCTTCTCGAATATAAAAGATGTGCTCTGCATAAGATATGACAACCTTCAACTTGGAAGCAAACTTTACTTGTCCTAAGACATGAGATGCAACCCATGAGAGACCATCAGGAATATTTTTCACTGATGCTGTTTGCAATGATGTCTAAAGACAGGTCCTTAAATTTGAAGTCACTGCTCACTCATAGCAATAACTACTTGGATGAGGTATTCTAGCACATAACCACGTGTATCACAATTACATCCTCACTCTGATCAGCACTTCACTCAAAGAAGCGATTCTGCCTCTGACTTTGCTTTAAGAGGTTTTGCTGAACAGCAACAGCGTGCATGTAAACTGCTGTGATGTGCCAACATAAACCGACATAACCCACAGCCAGGCTGTAATCTGGTACAACATAGCAAGGGAATTAATCCACAAAACTGTAAACTTGCACTTTGGCAGTCATCAGCTGCAGGCTGACCAAAGGGCAGGCTTTAATAATAAAATGACTGCGTAAGTTTAACGACAAAAACCCCCTACCAGAATGGGGCAATAATAAGAAAAATGAATAAACAAAATAGATTATATCGTATTACTATGTAATTAATAAAAGACAGTATTATAAATAAAAGCATGAAACTATAATTAGAAGCATTTTGAGCTATTCTTTTAATATGGAGTTGAAATACAGAGRAAACTATCTTTCTTTCACAAATCTCATTTTTGGCAACTGCCACTGCTTTATCCAGCATACCTGTTTCAGGTTGTGTGTGTTTGGTATTTGACAATTAAGTTATATGGGTTAATTAACCTGACACCTGAATAAACTGAGGCTAAAATTAAGCCTCAAAAAAATGAAAACCCCCACAACTCCCTCTCCTAATCAAGTTTAACTGAGGAGTTAATGGTGAGGTCCTCACTAAGTGCAGCCCAGGAAGACCACAGTTCATAGCTCAAAACTGGTTTTGCTGCTGAAGCCAGCTTCTCAGACCTGCAGTTACKGTCCTCCTCTAAGAGGAACCAGAGCTCTGAAGTTGTCAGGATGGAGAAATAACATAAGGYACAAACACCTTCTCTTAGATTTTTTTTTAATTTCTGTGTAAAATGCTTATTTTTTCTTGAGTTGCGTCTCTGAGAAATATTAGCATCTGAGATGAGCTATACCAAGATTTGTTCTCTTGACATGCTCTTTTACCTTTGGACAGCTTTAAAGACATATTTCCCTGTATTGCACATCTTAGCATTTGCATTATAAAAATAATCATCATTAGGATCTATTTTGGGGTCCTGAAAGGTTCCAGAGAATAAACATAAATATATATATTTCTGAGATAAAAATGGATCTTTCTTCCCTCATTTCAAGARCCAAAACCCTGAAACATCTCACTCAGGCCCTTAGTGGCAAAGGGAAGCAATTATTGGCAACATAAGAAAATGCAGTGTAAGCACACACATTTGTAGGCGAAGATGCTACAAGACACTCCACCAGAAAGCAAAAATAAAAGAGCAGATACCATGGCCTAAGCAGGCTACGGCACAAACTTTCAGCTTTGTAGCTAATAGTTTCCTGATATGTGACTCAATGAATGGCAAACTTGAAGGGATCTCAGTGCCAAGTTCATCAGCTCTCTGGGAAAGTATTTTAGCCGCAATGCTACTAGGCAAAAGCAAAAACTGCTGCCACATCTAGATATGGGTTTTTTCTTTTTAATTTGTAAACCAATTTGAAATTTCTAGCATATCTCAGGTGAGGTCAGCACATACTTAGGGRCATGCAGGCAATRTGGGTATAYCCTTGATATACCGGTACCCATGACAGAACCAYCAAGGTCGGAAGGGACCTTTGGAGATCATCTAGTCCAAACTCCCTGCACATACAGRGTCATCTGCAGCATGTGGTACAGGCTGCATCCAAGCGGGATTTGAAGATGTCCRGAGAAGGAGACTCCACAACCTCTCTGGGCAGCCTGTTCCAGGGCTCTGTCATCCTCACTGACAGGGAATTTTTCCTGAAGTTCCTGCAGAACTTTTGGTGCTTCAGTTGTGACTGTTTCCTCGAGTATGCTGGCCTCATGCTCCTCATTCCCTCCCTCTAGGTACTTACATACGCTGAACAATTCCCCTCTCAGACCTCTCTTTATGTTCCTAAGCTCTGCTGCAATTCAGATTTAGGCAGAATACAGCTATCATCTGCCTTCTCCAGCTTGGGCTTTTCAGAGCAGGCACAGTACATAAACTCTAAATACCTGGAGAATTTTCAGGTCAACCAGACAGGTTGTTAAACGATTCCAGCCACCTGGAAATAGATGTTACTACAGAGAAAAGGCATCCCATATTGCCGATCGGGACTTGCATGCTAGATKCTGTTCAAGTCCCAAATTAAGCAATCTGAGTCCAGTCCTTAGAGACTCCAACTATTGACTTACCCTTTTGGTCATCCCAGGCCAGATGATTATGCAGTCTCAACCATTGTACACTCTTGGCTGAGGGCAAAATCTCATTTACCACCTCCTCAAAATGATTACTACCGATCAGCCTTAGTTTATTCTCTCCTGCATTTCAAAACAAAACAAAATAGTGTACTAGTCACCTACTGGCACTAAACAACAGGAGACAGCAATGTCCAGAATGAAATTCAGAGCTGTGTTATCAATATCCTTTTGGCATGGCAGTACATTTTCATTCAGCGTGTGAATTCCCTACTGACTGCTGTGCTAGACATTAAATAAAGAGCAGTGATGCATCAAACAAACCAGTAAAGAATATCAATTTTGGCTTCTTTTAGCCTTTAAAWTTAGCCTTTTTTGTCTATCTGCTAGAATATACTATTGCATAAATAACAGAAAAGACAAGAATATCTTTTGATAACATTATTTACTTAAAATGACTAGGTATACTTAGTCTTTTGTAAATTGTGAATTAATGCTCTATTACATTTTTCTCTACTAAACATCAGAGAATTCACAGAAAAGATGAGTTCACGAGCCTTTCTCTCACTGGAGAAGTAAATAACCTAAATAACCCCTATCCCTTCTTCTTGTCTGCCTGTTTTCATTAAAATCAATAAAAATTTCAGTTTCAAGATACGCCTCCAAGTTAAGTACACTTAAGCAAGTGAGCAATACATCCAGCAAAACAATCCAGCACAGTTTGAGAAGTCCCAAGGCATTAAGACATCAGACTACAATAAAYTAACTCAGGCTTCTAACAGACAAAGCAATTTGGATAGCCATGAGCCAGAAGACACACTTTACTCATTTTATAATAAAACTGTCTTTTCCTAGACAAAGGAAAAGTAGCTTAAGTCTTAAGAGCTAACCATTTTATCTCCAAAATAAACCTATACTAATCATTCCGAGCCTTAACTAAAACACTTTTTCAGTTGCATCTAGCTTCCAAAAAGTGCTCTGCATCAAGTGCTTCAATAAAATTCAAAATACTGTGTTGCATGAGTGTAGTTGGTCCCATTCACTGTCTCAGAGAGATATAATAATATAGATCTATACATAAGTTACATATTTTTGTTTATGCTTCAATATCAAACAGATAAGGCTTGTAGATCTAAAGACTTGATCTGCAACTTCTTTCTTTATTTTTGTCTCCAATTTAGAAGTACCCATGTTCATCAAGCTTGCTTAGCAGGGCACTTTTACATTTTTCAGCAGCCAAGGACAGAGAAGAAAAGTGGAGAGCCTTTTCTCAGGAAGAAAGCAACAAGCAACAAAAGCAAACCAAATAAGCAAACCCCAAAGGCACAGACAATGCAATAACCTCAGTCTACATATATATTCAGTAACCAAATCACATTCTCTAATAAAGCGGGTGAGCACGAGATTGCCCTCTAGTGTCTTATCCACCATCCATCTTATCCCACTTGGTGGTAGGAAACTCACACTTAAGAAGCATTTTAATTCTAAGATAGAAACTTGGTCTCTTCCTCCCACATTTACAGACTCTGCTGAGCTGGTTTGGACATAATTTTGCCTACTCTAGATACTATAATTTACTGAAATTTAAATTATACAGGCTTCTTTGAGGAAATTAATAAAAATGTAGTTCTTTATAGCCCATTAATGATTTCTCTGTGGGTTAGTCAAGTAAGATTTTTTTTTTTTTTTTCGAATAGGCTCATTGAACTACTGGCAATACAAGCAATACTGGTGACAGCAGACATCGTTACTGAGACAATATGAATAATCACTGTAAGATTACATGAATCTGCATGCATTAACAACCAATTCCAAATGTTCAAACAGAGAAAGATGGTTTGTGCTTTTTTTCCCCTCCTCGCCCCTTTCTTCACACAACAGTAAGAAGGCTAACAAATGAAAAATCCATTTGTTGGTAACCTAACTTTCCCAACACCTCCCCCTAGCTTACTAGGGCCCTAGGACACTGTTAAAAACAAAACAAAACATCACCTATTTCTTTTTTTGGGGAAAAGAAGCGCTAACAAATCAGTTTCACTGTATTCCATGRAACACACCAGACTGCAAGTCTGTCTTAGTCAAGTCTTCAATTCTTCCTCTCTAAATATAAATTTTTAAAAGCCCACAGAGTATTTTTTGTTTTGAATAGTGTTACTAATAGATCATACGGACAGAATATCATACTTCTGTTTCAAGAATTTGATCAGTTAAATGAGACTTCTTAGAGTTAGAAATAAAAGCATTTATTGATTCTAAGGCATTGCAATAATACTTTCACAGACTTTATATGAAGGCAAAAAGTTACTGTTATAAAATCAGGCACGGCTCAAATGTGGGCATGCAGATAGAGATAAGGTTCTAGATASGGGTGAAGGTTCTAGAGCAGTATTTAATACTAATCTTCTTTATTTGTTAGTTGCAATTCAAGTTAATATCAATCAGCTAGAAGACTACTGTAATTTTAGATATTTTCTATATCTATATGTATTAGATACAAATGGATATATTTTAGATACATGTCTCATTTGCACACATACATATGCATATGTGTGCATCTGACTCTTAGCTATGCATGTATAATGAATAGATATTATTTTTTAGGCTAGACTCATTTTTTACAGAAGAAAATCTTTAAAAATAAATAAGAAAAAAAGAAAAGAAGGTGGAAGGAAAATTGTTCCTCATTCTTTTATACATCAAAGGTCTGTAAGAGTCAGGAATACAGGAGGTTTTAAGAAGTTTCATAATACAGCATAAAAAATTAYCAAGAGATGCAGACATGGGGACGAGATCAGCACTTATGGCACTTTAGCTTCTGAACTGAACAGAATGTCTTATTATCATAAATCTTGCCATTTGGCACTCCCATTGACCAGGATAATGAAAGGAGTGCAAATATTTCGGGGTAATAGCCCTCTAATACGTGTTTGACCCTCTTTCTTTTGAGGCATTATGTGCTTTCACCTGTAAAGCAGTGGTGATCTAAATGATCTAACTAAAGACTGATAAAATAGCACACAAAATGTTGACAGTCTTTTCTAGTACATACAATGATATAATAAGAATATGAAATCCTTCCAAAAGGCATACTGAGACCACCAAAAAGACACTATTATAAAAAACAACAACAACAACAACAACAAAACCACAAAGGGCCAATTCTTGCTTCAAAGCACCTGCTTCTTAAATTATCAAAGTCCCCAATTAACCAGAATGGAAATCTGGAAGAAGGAAAATGAATATTACAGCAGGATAACTCTAAAGCAGGAAAATATCAAAAGGCAAATACTTCTCTTCCTAAAAATGAGTGAAGAGACATTACAACACAAAAATAGCAGGAAAGGTCATCTTGGGTGCAACACAAACTCACATGCTGATATTACGTTACCTACCAGTCAGGTACCGCATGCCAGTCGGTGAATATTCCACCGGTACATTGAGCACCACATTCAATGAGATGACCTGCAAGGCTGGGAAAGTGGCAAACGTTCAAATAAYTAAGTATTCTGTAAAACAAAGTTTCACAGGTACAGTCTCAAATAATTACAGTACAACAACAACAAAAAAATCTAAGTAACTGAATATGCTGGTTTTTTTTTTTAAGCATCCAGTAATAGGTTTATAAACTTTGCATAAATACAAGCAGGGATTTTGAAAGCCTAACAAAGAAGGCTTAAAAGAATAAGCTTTTGCATAAATAAATGAACTTCCTTAAAAAAAAAAAGTGAAAATAATCTGAAAAGATATCATATGACACTAAAAATGAAGTTTGATTGCTCATTTCCAAAAATCAAAAATCTATTTGGTCTGCACTGCTAGTAACTAAATATGCAAAACTCACTTTTAATTAAGAGTTATAAGGTCTCAYTTAAATACCAAGGATATCCCTTAACTGAGTATATTATGATGTTCAAATTTTACATTATCAGATTCTCTAAATACTGAATACTTGAAAGAATTATGGGAGAAATCCCACTCCGAGGCAAATGGTTACTCACTACATTTCCAGCTCAGTCAAGCCAGAATTTCTTTGAACATTTATTCTCAAGCAATAGAAAGTCAAAAATATTACTAGTAGGTGCACTTWGATCAGCTATGTAGTCATTCATTTATATTAACTACAACATATTAAAGATGATGCACTAAATTAGATAAAACAGGTTTTTATTCTTTACTTTCTGAATCTAATTCCCACCCTGGATTTTACAGAGTTTTTCAAATGGGRACACTCGCACAATTCCTGCAAAACTATAAATGGATGCTGACCACTGACTGAATTTTTCTTTCTGTGTATTTTAGAAGACAAGAGATGCTGCCATCTCACAGATCAACAGTGACACCCAAACGAAAGGCTGGGAACCACTGGACTTTAAGACACATCATTTGTAACACAAATCAGAGAAGGAGTTACAGTGTTCAATAAAATCTTTCACSCTATCCCTCATTTTAGTAAGTGAAGCTTTTGTGATTTCAGTTACTACAAATGATTAAGAGRAACTGTGACATTCACACAAATTAATTCAATAATATGAACATTAGGGATTTTGCACATTAAAGTTCTGTTACTGGGACATTATTTGTTATCAAATACAATTTTACCCATTTCTTCTGAACTCATTTACCTTCCCGCAGCTAGTAAGTCATATTCATCCCTATTCCAGCCAAACTAGAAAAAAAAAATACAAATACATTATAGGCAACATTTTATACAGCAGAGAAAATGGCATACAGTGTGCTCACTGCTCTCGGTGACAACATATTGTACGTATTCAAGCAATCGCAGAAATCTAAAGGACAATCTAAACTAGCTGGTAGGAACTGCAGGCAGAGACAAGTTGCTGCACACTAAGAGAGTAAAAGTTTTGATGCATTTCAGTGTTTTTTTTTTTTATTAACACACCTGAACTAAAATAAATTCCCAATCCTCCAGAAACTTTAACAGTACAACTTTCAAAATCTTCAAGCCTTGCATATATTACAGGTTTACAAATCTACAAAATACACTGTGCCATGTAAACAAAGGTTTCCCTCCCCCTTTGCCTCCCCTCCGAATTTTGAAATTTATCAGTTCCAGGACAACTACTAGTTTCTCTGGAAAACATGTAGTGCCTTTTTTGTTCGACTACACATTGTTTTTATCAAGTTCAGTGTAATGCAAATGATATATTCCTTACTTAGAATTTAACAGAAATCTCCATAAAACATAAACAACACACAAAGCATCCCTAAAGTAAATTATATATGCCCACAACCATTTTGAATGTATAGATGGATAGGAACGGATTAAGAGCTAATAATGGCAATTATAAAAGGGAAAATTTAACTASAGATTAGGCATTGCTTTATATGCATAAATTCAAATGAGTATGAAATTTTAGAAAGGACATCTGTAACCAGACATTAGCACACACCCCAGCATATTTTTAAATGTGCACCAAGAGAAATTCACAAAAGTATACATGCTATTAAACACCACAGAAAACCACATATCCTGCCTTATATTATTTCTTGAAACTGAAAGAATTTGGAAAACGTCCCACTGAAACTCAACTTCTTAAAATAAAACTGCTTACCCAGTGAAAAACGCCTGTGATTTAGACCACCTCATAAGACTTTTTTTTCCCCCCAATGAAAACAAAGACAGTACTACAAGTGCCACCTTGTGGTAAAGAAAAATATGTTTCTTAACCTTATGCACCAAATTTGAAAGTGGAAAAAGTTACAAGTGAAATCTTGGTAAGACAAGACAAAATTCCCTGAATTCTTTGAGGTGATTCCTAGTTTCATTATATAGTCACATATTTAAATATCCTTGCTATAAACTTAGAATCAATGAAAGTTGGCAAAGTTTCATGCACATAAACAAAAGTAATAACAATAATTCACTATTTTTAATTTAGCATCTACATTTCCTTAAGGAGCAAAATTACCTGACAATGATTATTGAATATTCATTCCCATACATTCAGCAACATATGATAATTAACTCGAACTTACTGAATGAATGAGGGGTCCTAATACAATCCCGCTGTCAACACATCTACCAGTCACAACAATATCAGCTCCGAGGTCAAGAGCCCTGCTTATTGGTCTTGCTCTAAAGATGACAAAATAAAACAATGTGCACTCTCACCTTTTAAAATTTGGCTTAAAAATCAGTTGCCTGACATGGATACGATAAAAATCATTTAAATATCCTGATCMCTTAACAATCAATTAGTCATGGATGTTTCAAAAACATTCGCCACTTATACAGAATCAACCTAAAGATGATCATCGTGCTTCGATTGCTTTCGAAAAAGCTCAGGTAACTGATAGTCCAGATTTGCTTAGTATTTAGCCCACTTAGAATTAGTAGTGCTCAAAAACATTCGTCCAGGTGAACTGTTCCAGTTTATATAGAAGGTTAGTAAGAAACCTTTGGCCAGAATGCACGACTTGTGGCTTCTAAACCCATGCTGTGCTGGATCCTTCCATTATTCGTGAAATGGGTAGCTTGAAAACACAAACCATGTTATCCGAGTGCTTTGAAGAACAAAGCCAAGATTTTTCTAAAGCACATACAAATGCAWTTAGCTCTGTTTTTGTTGAGAGGATGCAAAGAAGTTACCTTAATGACGTAAATAACATAATAATAAATACATATAAATACATATTTAGCTGATACTASATAGACTAAAGGACACTAGCCAGGTAAGTAAAAGAATAACATAACTTATGAAGCATAGCTAATGTCAGGCACTGGGCTGACTGGCTTTACATTTCAAGATGTCCAAGAATAAGAGACCCATAAAGAAATCCTGCTTTTATTAGGGGAAAAAAAAATCAAGCACAAGACATTCCTTTCTCTGCTCCTGTAGCACCTATTAGCAAAGCTGAGCAGAGGCAGAGATTTAAAATGCATCATCCTGGTAACTAGACTACTTTTGTCCTCTKCTTTGAGTTGGTTTTCATGGCACATGAAGACTCCAGTTAATACTTTCTCTTGGTTATAAATAATAATCATTATTTTTTAGATCTCATTTACAGTTATTTATGAGCCACAAATGTTGAAAATCAAAGTTTAATAAACTGAAAAATCTAGCAACTATTCTAGGAGAAACACTGAAGACAAATTAAAAGAGTAAGCTATTAGTAAGAGTAAGCTATCCTTGTTTTAGAGAGAAAATATATTTTGCGTTAGTTACAGCCATGCCCTGCCATGCGCCACTAACACACTCCTAGAAACTGCAATGATAGTGACACAAGAAAGTGTCACTAAAACTTGATTTACCTCGATTTCCCTGAGGAAGTTGCTGATGACAATGAACATGTAACCATTCACTAATGGACAGCCAGAACACTGCACTTGAGAGACTTTCAGGAGGTGCTCAGTATCACAAATACCTAAGATCTTTCAGTATAGTGATCTGTTCCAAAAAGGCAGCCTCCAAAGTTTCAAAAGTACAAAATCTGACACACAAATACTAAAATCTTTTACAGCATTCATCAATGTCATAGTATCTCAGCTCATGAGTTGCATTTCTCCAGGGATGACAAATCTGAACAATGCTGCTCCATGTAGCAGAACAGGATATTTAGCACATGTACAAGGATTTGAGGAATTGTCATAATACAAGTGATTTTGGAGATTCTCAGGAGATATAATCCAAAAGAATCAGAAGTGATAAAGTTCTAAATTAAAAATGTATTTAAAGGCAACAAAGAAAATATAATTTTTAATGGTTGCTTTAATATGCCACGGAGAATCTTAAGTACTAGGTTCTTCTATTCGCAAATCAAAATAATGTCATTTAGTCAATCAATATATGATCCCCCTGCCACCACCCAATTAGTAGAACTTAAATGACTCACCCAAGATACACATTCATGCTATGAATGCTCTCTGGAAACTGCTTGCCACTCTCTAAATCAACGATACCAGCTCCTTTCAGGTTCTCTTTCTGTTAAAGGAAAAAAGAAAACTCAAAGCTATTAATGTTTTGTATATATATGTGTGTGTCTGTGTATATCTATATATACATATACACATGTGTATGTGTGTATATCTATATATACATATATACATGTGTATATGTATATATATATACACACACACACTGCAAATCTTTATTAATAATCAGACAATAAATCCACTCTGTAGGTACTATTAAGAAATGGATAATTGTTAAAATTCAAAACAAAATACAGATCAACTGACTATGACCTTTCATATGATCAACAAAGATGTTCATGCACAGAGGAGGAAAAAAAAAAAATCAGTCTTTAAAGAATGCTTCTCCAATGAGCTGATATATTCTTTTAGGATGCAAAGCTGTCTTTAATTCCTGCAGAACTGAGTAAAACAAACTATACCAACAACACATCTACTTTAAAAGGAATGGTTGTATGACCAGAACACAAGGTTAATGTTGCAGCTCCAGGCAATATTTTGCTGTTTTCCTCAGTACACCTTCCCAGAGAGACCCATTTGCGTGCAAGTGTGCATTTGCGTATGAGACAACAGGGCAGACTAGGGAATCCAGAAGCAACCGGACAGATTCGATGTACACAGCTGGTTTGTGGATGGATCTACAGAGTGTGTGTGCAAGCAGAGGAGAACGTGCAAAGGTAACAGGTCTAGAGCAAACAGCCGCACACTGAAGCRCCAAAAGTTCCGCAGGAACTTAAGGAAAAATTTCTTGACAGGGAGAGTGATGGAGCACTGAAAGAGGCTGCCAAGAGAGGTTGTGGCATCTCCTTCTCTGGAGATCTTCAAGTCCTGCTTGGACGCAATCCCATGCCACTTGCTGTAGGTGACCCTGCGTGTGCAGAGGGGTTGGACCGGATGATCTCTAGAGATCCCTTCCAACCTTCATGAGTCTACGAGTCCACGCAGCAGCAGCTGGAGCAGGGCTGCAGGCCCAGGTGCTGGGTGCTGCCAGGCCCAGGGACCCAGGCGTGCTTATGCGTTGATGGGTGTGTAGCCATCTCAGTATGTTCATGAACATGCAAGTGTGTATGTATAGACACAGAAACACACACAGTGTGGATGTGGCACGTGCCACTGGCTGGACTTCCATGCACAGGGCTGCAGCAATCTTGCCTCCATCAGACTCTCACATTTAGCAACTCCTAACAAAGGATCATTTCAAGTTAAAGAATGCATGACATTTTTATGAAGAGATTAACTTTTCCTAGATACTTTTCAGATTATTGAAAACTTTTCTGACAGATGATCTTTTTCATGAATGAGCTCAACAAATTACTTTTTTGCAGTGTATTTAGACTCAATCTTTTATCCGAGTATTTCTTATCACCAAAAGACTTAAATCTTTGAAGCCACAAACAGGATTCCTACAGTCATTTATGGGTTTTGGAGTCCACAGTACAAAATCTCTAAAGCTGCATTTTGCTTATATTAGTTATGACAAAAACATAAAAAAATCCTTTTCAGATAAAACACATAACACCCATGCCAAGCTCAAACAACTAGCATTTCACCATCATATATTAATGAAACAAGGGACCACTGATGTTGCATCAATTTGAATAGAGTAGATGTTTCTTTAAGGAAAGTCAAGTTCTTGCACATAATTTGTGAAGAGTGAGCTTTATTCAAGCTTTCTCCATACTCAATAGCACACAAGGCATAATTAGATACATCCTACGGAGATTTGCAATTTTTCAAGTTGAAGGCAGAAACTGAAACACAGTTCAAGTCTACCATCTTTTAAACATCAGCAATGCACAGAATTGTTTCTCTATTATCTTTCCAGGTTTGCTCAACATTTTTTGCAAAATAACAGTCTGTACAAGGGGAAAAAAATCCTTTAAAGGTAAGATCAAAAAGCTATGTATTTCCTCCCTAGATTTCAAATTCCATGAAAAGATTCAAACTTCAATGCTGCTACTTAAACCTACCTTACTGGCCACAAACTAATTATTTAAAAAACAGCTACCTGTAAACAAAGTAACAACAGGTAGCGAGTGCAAGCTATTAAAAAAGAGCTGACAATGATGATCAACATTTGAATAGCACAACTTAAGCGATCAGGTATGCATTGTTATTATTTTAGAGAGTCTAGTAAATAACAGCACGCCCTATGACCTCCTGAAGAGAGAGAAGACCTTAGACAAATGATTCACAATTTGCTTCAGAAAATGAAACAACACCAGAGAGAGCCTTATGAAATGTATCCCTTTGCATGCCAAGCAAAATTCGTCAAGGATTATTTTTATGCATTAAAAAAATAGAATGAAGCAACATTTTGGAAGATTTTGGCAGTAGAAAGATTACATAAACACGTGTTAAAAAGTAGAGGATACTTTTAGTAAGTGTCATCTTTTGCTAGAGGAAAAAACTTCTGCAACCCTACTAAGCCTTAAGACGAAGTAAAATACCTCACTCATTAGGTCGTCTCCAGCAACAACGGCTATTTTCAAGTCAACATCTGCCTTCTTTGCCACCTCCTGAAGGGCGGCCGCACAAGCAAGCGGGTTAATTCCACCAGCATTACTGATGACACGAACACCTAAACAAAATGACAAACTGAATTCAGCAGCACTAACAACCATTTATATTACAAAAACTTAAGGCACGCTGAAACATAAGCAAGGCACCATCTCTGCAAGGTGACAGGCATGCAGTCAAGTAAACTGGATTAAAGTTGTCAACCCCTTTTACACAGTGAAATAAAAGGACCAATTAGAATCATAGAGTGCTAGAGAAGTGCACCCCTGCCAAGAGTTGCAGGTCATTTTCTTGCACATTTCACTATGGAAAGTAACCAGGAACAGCTGGAAACAGCGTTGTAACAGTTCCTACAAATACAACATTTGACGCTGGTCATTCACAACAACTGTGCTCTTCAAACTATCACATTTTAACAAAAACATACATCTATATGTAAACTACAGGCTCTATTGCAAGCTTATGAGAAAAAACTTACTTTTTCCTCCCAAACAGAGCAAGATTATGAAGATACACTAATATAAATGGCAAAATAAATAAATGATGAGGGAATAAATTACGCTGTAGTTACAGTTTAAGATACGACCTTCACTAAGGTATCAGCTCACGTGACGGACAGCATACCTTTCCTGTGAATGTCTTTTATATACGGAGCCATTGCAGTGGACACAAAGTCGGGAGTGTAACCCAGCACCTGCAACAAGAAAAACCCAGGACAAATTGTTAAGGATAAATGTAGGATAAATAAGGATAAATGTAGGATAAATAAGGATAAACCCCTTGTCCTTTTCCTCGGCTGACAGAAGAACAACACCGGGGAACAACATCTACGCAAGGCTGTGGAGGAGGACGTGGTTGTTTTCACAGGGCGAAATACAAGTAAGTGCCCTCTGGGCAGCCCGCTCGCTGCTGTGTTGGGGTGAGGGAGCCCCGATTCCGCTGCACAGGAAACGCTACCTTTGCGCACATGTAACACATATATATATATGTTACATATATATATGTATATATGTATATATGTGTGTGTGGATGAGGGGGCCGCGCGGCGGGCGGGTACTCACGGGCGAGCGGGCCCTGGCCGCGGCGAGCAGCGCCATGGTGACCTCGGAGAGGTAGTCGAAGACGAGGAAGTCCAGCTTCCCKCCGTGGAGCAGCTGCGGCACTGGCGGGCGGCGACGCGGG